CGTTTTGCTGTAAACGACTGCGATCTGACTGTCTTGCAGCATTCATAGTATTATCCCAAACACAGCAATGAAATGATAAGAATGCATTGGTCGCGAGATTTTACCAAAGGACCTTGCCACCATATGTGATGGTACAATGCTAGTTTCACTTTACAACGACGACGCCAATTCCAATCTCGTTCGAGATTGGACATGATGCATTATTTTGTGGCTTGATTTCAGAGGTAAAGATCAAATCCGAGTCAGCACCATAGAGCAGGAGCCCCATGACAACAGCCATAGTCATGTTCGTGATGTCCAAATGTCTCCAAGTTTGAAAAAGCTTGTGCGAGCAAGATGCAACATAAAAGATCCACATTGTCCCATTGTCCGTATTCACGCGACGTGAATGTTTGTTCATTGTTCACGTTAGGAGTCGTCGATTGCGGCAGTTGTGGTCGATGAAGTCCTTTGAAACTCCACAAGAAATAAGGTTTTGTAGATAGATATCGCAGGACGAGCCTCTTTTGGAGACCCAGTCGAGCTCCCTACAGTGGCCATGACGGCCATGTCATCTGCATCGTCCAACGGCTCCTCCTCTCCCTCCATCCCTTCATCTCCCTCACCACCAAAAATGGCCAAGTTTCAACTTTCGAGCTTGAAGCCATATTGCACATGGTTGAACCTCTTTTTGGTATCCGATCTGCTCATAGTCGTGGTAGCCGGTGCCATCTTATTCATGGTCTTGGTAAATCATCCATGGTCTTCTTCCTTGACATCAAAGATATTGAAACACGATTTCTGAAACAGGTTGGAATGATCAAATTCGATGCTAAAGCTACGACAGACGCATGGATAGAGTGGAGTTCGCAGGTCCTCAACGCCATATTTACACTGAATGCTCTCTTGACGCAGCCCTCCAGGCTCCTGTTCCTCTATCGAGCATGGAAGATAAAGTGAGTGCGGTCACTTGTAGTTGGGTAAGCTCAATATGAGCTAAATACCCTCATTTAGGTATCGAGCAAACACAATGACGTCCATAGAACAGACTACAATGACCCAAAAAATCCAAGTAGTCTATGGCAACAGCATAAGGGTCGTAGTCAATCCAGATCAAGATCTACATCCAGAAACTATAACTAGAGTCAAGACGTTTTGGAAGATTGTCCTGTTGCTAAATCTGAATTGCTGGTTTCAGATACCCATGACTGTCGTTATGTGGGGTATGTTCTCCTGCAGCGCGATGTTGTGCAGTCGGACCCATGCACTGACTTTTTCTTTTTGGCTAGGTTGGGCAGGAGGACCTGATAGATACGGCGCTCGCCCTTCGATTATAGTATACATATGCATACCGCTCTCATTCATGTGTGGAATCATTGCTGGAGTCTGGATTGCAATGATTGAGAGACGTGTACGACTACACTTGAAAAGCCTCACCACCTCCAACACCAATAAAAAGCAATCATCATCACTAGTAGCTATACATCAATCCTCACCGCAACAACAACTAGAAGGTGTGAAATCACCAGATCGATCAGACCAAACCGTCCTTTCCGCAGACGGATCTGTTGGACCTGCTGTTGATGCAGCAGAGATAAGATTGATTGATGATGGAGATTTAGGGTCTGCTATCAGGAATACGGGACGTGTTCATCCCTTAGATTAGACCTGTGACTAGAACAAAGTAAACCTTTGACCAACATATTAGTGTCAAAAAACTCCCACAACCTCATCAGCATGGAGACGAGCCTCCATTTATCTTGTATAACTACTTTTGTTTGTAATGTAATTTAATGGTTTTAATTCTAGTTATAAACTGATCTCTTCAATTCAATATGATTTGCTAGGGTGTTTCTTTTGGGTTTGTGTTAAGTGCTAAAGAGCCTCATTAGGTCTTTGATTCAGTTGATGCTGAAATGTACAGAGCAATCTCATTAACGACCATGTAATTTGATACTAAGTCACTTTTTATTTGAACCACACAAAAATACTACAAGCTAGTGTGGATTAATTTGAAAATATCATCAGTCACGAATACGTCCTGCTCCACCATTTTGCGAATCCTACATAAACCAAGACTTGATCAGCAAGAAAACCGCCCCACTTTTTAAGCAAGGGAGAGTCAAGAATGAAGCTTACAAAAGATGCAGGTCTGCTCCTCATCTCACGAGCTGAGTCCATGTAGCCATTGTCACTGGCAGGAGCATTCACAGTTGCAAGAGTAGATACATAACCTTCCAAGTGACCAATTCCCCGGAAGCTACCAAATAAGGGCAGAGGCTCGTGTCGTGGCGTCGTATTATCTGGAGCCATCATACCTGGAGGCACTGGAGATTGGGCCTCCAAACGAGAACGAGATATTACATCAGGTATATCAGGTTGAGTAACAGGAGATTCTTCTGGAAGACCAATCCTATCGAGAGTTGATTCTTCAGATACTCGTACGGGAATAGGTGACTGGAGATTATCGGTCTAGTCATTGTGACAGGGAAAAGTATTCGTATCAGTACTTGTTATACATTTTGAAATAAATCGAAAGCAACAAAGTTCAAAGAGTGAGTAGCAAGCTGACGTACGTTCGAAGCTAGACGTTGAAGTCGACGTAATGAAGATTGTCTGGCCATATTGGCTCGGAACGAGTTGTCTGTAAATCCATTAGACATATCGGATTCAGAGACAGGAGGTGCGCCAAGAGATATATCGGATTCAGTGACGGGAGGTCCAGCAAGATTAGGATGAGATTGTTCCAGTGCTGTTCCAGGAATCGATGACTGGAGATTATCGGTCTAGTAATTGTGGAAGGGCATGGTATCCGTAGTAATACATGGTATATCTTTAAACCAATTCAAGAGCAACAAACTTCAAAAGCGAAAAACAAGCTAACGTACATCTGTAGCTACACGTTGGCGAAATGAAGATTGTCTCGCCACACGGGCTCTGACCATGTTCTCTGTAAATCTATTAGCCATATCGGATTGGGCGACAGGACGTCCAGCAAGATCAGCAGCAGATTGTCTAGCTCTTCTCATTGCGAGAACGTCTGGTTCGTCATCATCACTCTTTGTGGAAGGACAGATTTCCATCAGCACATTGTGTAAAATGGAAATGAATCACCTCAATACCACCTACATCTACAACAAAAGCGCCTTCAGCACCGCGTGAACCTTGAAGACTAGCAAGTCGGTCATCTATAACTTCACTAACGACTTCGAAATACATTCGAAACCCGTGCAAGCCAATCCGGACGTCAGCATCCAGATGCTGCATCCCATATACCAAAGGAGCCAAGAATACCCGTATTGGTGCAAAGAGCAGCAAATAGACGGCGAATTGGATGCTTGGCACGAGTCGTCCAAGTGTCTCGTCGTTTTCGGAAAGAAAGCGACGGTCCATTCGGTTAACCATGTCGGCTGGGTTCTAATTTAGAGGAAAAATCATGGTGTTGATATTCGTAAGTGATTGATGACTGGAATAGTATGGTTGCCGTCAAATGAAGTTCTTGGATACATACGACAGACAGTGGTACCCATCGTAGTACTGAAGTCACATCATGTCCACGAGGCATCTAAGCGAGATAAACGTAATCTTTTAATATATGGTGGCTCTATCGACATCAACCTGTCAAGAGTGCCCTTACTAGCAACCAGTAAGACTCAAATATCCCAACGACAGAAGCGACGATGATGGCGTGATTTACAGCACTCAACACTTTCGCTACTGGTCTCGTCACTCCAGCAGTGACCGAGAATACAACGACACTTGCAGCAAGGAATGCGTAGATGGGAGCAAAAGCCGTGATTGTAATTACATCCAAAGTCCTTCCAAGTGCTTCGGATACTTGAAGGCGATTCCAGCGACGTCGTGGTACATCAGCTCGTTTTATAAGAGCATGACGGCTGCTATCTGTTGATTCGTACTGCACGGGATTGGTTTTGACTGCATCTAGATTGTTTGATGGTGCATCCAGCGAGTTCAAGTTGATGAGAGGGATGTCGATAGCCCAGCATACACAGTTGGTGGACACTAGAAATGTGAAGAATACTATAATGATCTTCATTACAATGTCGGTATAAGTGAGATGAGAAACTTGGCAGCTTGACGTGTTGTGAGGAATTTGACGTGCTACATCAGTATAGCATACACAATGTGAAATCAGGAGACTCACGTGTAATTTACTTGTATTTCTTGGAAACTGAAAAAGGAATGGTCTCTGTCGTCTTGGGTAGTTACAATTCACTGAGTGAATCTTGAAAGAGACGCAATTAGAGCGTTTGACAGGTGAAAGAGTTCGTTGACGACAGCAGTAGTGTCTTGGAACTTCCGACAATGCTGAGTTGAGAGCATGGATATGAAGAGAGCTGCAGGCAGTCACGAATGTCAGAAAGACTGCAATGGTCTTCATTGCTAGCATTTTGTATACGACCTGGAAGAAATTACTAATAGAATCACAAACGGAAGGCATGATCCGATGGCAGCCAGGTTCTTGGAATTTAGGCCTGTACACCTAATAAGGACAGTTCAATACGTCAGTGTTAGTGAAAGATGCTGATAAAATCATCTGGGCTTCCTTCAGACGAGAGTTTGATTTCTGTGCTCTGTTGATCTCACCAAATTCCACTACCAGTATTCACGATCACGGCAGCGCCATTTGCAATTTCTGGTGTTCTTGTAGCAGCATCTAGACCAGTAAGACTAATTTACATATGTTTTGATAATGGAATCAAAAACTTGTCTAAAAATGCGACCAAAACACTTTAAAAACGGGTACTCCGAACTGGTCCAATTCACAGCACTTGCTGTCACGGATAGAACCTGAAGAAACAATGTAATGCACGATCAACTCTCCCCAACGACACAGAAAAACTTGACAAATAATAACACAAAGCCCAACCACCTTGTCAAAACACCACATATAATTTAATCAGCACTTGCTCCCTATCCTACAAATGTTTTTTTGTGCCGCTCTCCTGTAAATGCAAACCATCCAATTCCATAAAAGTAATGATACCCGCCACCCTTTTTCAATACCCCAGCGCCTTTCTCGCATCGTCACCCATAGAAGCAATCAATGGCTTCTCCCACAAATCAATAGCAGAGGACACAACAGCGTTATGATTCACTTGGCTGCCAATATTTCCAAACAAGGTTTGTACGTCTCGTGGACCTCTAGCAGCTTGAATTTGCCGTTGGACTGCGAGGATGAGACAGAGTGCCACGTAATTGAGAATGGCTGGGCGGCCGCCAAATAGGATGTCCCAGATACTAATACGTGGGTGATAATGAGACCAGCGTTTGCTTTGATGATATTGATTCGCTAGGTGTTTTTTTCACACACCGTTCTAAACTTTCTGGTGGCAGTATTTCTGCGAAATAGTTTGCAAACCACCTATAGTTCGGACAGTGGTTGATATAAGAATGCTAATGATACGACCCAAAAAACCCACAGCGACTCCTTTATTGCTCAGTACCTTTCACAGCAAACCTCCAAATCCACATCCAGATCCTCCAGTCTCTCTACCAAATCCGCATCCTGTTCTTGAAGCAGCTTCCATAGATGCGTGACCGAGTCTGTTATCCGTGTCTGTGAAGAAACGAACCAATGAGTCTCCAACAGCTTAAAAAAGGGGCGTGACCAAACGAGCTATACCTTTTGGTGCATAGCGTTCTCTTCACTCCCATCCAGAAACTCGACCATACTCAACTCGCGTCTTACAAAGAACTTGAACAACCAAAACGCATCTGCTTCTGTTACCGAATCACAAATGTCTAAAAAGCACGATGCGATGGCAGTCAAGTTCTGAAATTTTGGGCTTGGGTACTAACAAGGAAAATGAAACAATCAATGACACCAGATCAGTGACGCAAGGCAAAAGGCCACTCCTAGAACTTACCTGAACTACACGATGAGGAGTCAACCGATTCAACTGAATAAGCAGCATCCGAACCATCAAATCAGCAGTCAAATCCACATTATCGTAATCCTTGAGAGATTTCTTGTTGCGATGGGTTGGTGGGTAGATGAATTGGGCAGCTCGCTTCAAGTCCTGGAATTGCTGGCTTCGTTGGTCTTCAACGTACGACCATACGTCCTTTGATGTTGGCAAGACTCCTTTGCATAAGAAAGCGCGTCAGAAAGTCATCATTTGTATCATGAAATGGGTCTTTTGTTCGTCGTTTACCGAGCAAGACCTTCCAAACCAATGGGCGATACAAATGCGGAATTCGAACCCATAGACAGAGCTTTGTAAGCCTTTCTAGATCTAAGTAAACATGAATATATAAGTAAATGCACGTGATTTAATTCTTATGCCTTCAATATTTACCCAACACATCTCCAGCGAACGCACTTTCCAACGAGACTTTGACCTCGACAGTTTGGACACCGACGAGCCGATAGTAATTCTTTCTGAAATTACGGGATCTGCCTGCTGCCTCGGCTGCTGAATACAGCGCACTGTCGTCGGTGCCTTGAGCCTCCATCTTACAAGTACGTGTAAGTGCTGTACATGTGCAATGTAATGTGTTGTGGAGACGTGTCATTTGGTTGACTGCAGCTCACCTCAATCGATCAAATATATTAATTATAAGCTCATACATAGGAAGATCCAGTCGGGAGCTTCCTTCACAGACTCTCCGAACACAACATATGGCATCGCTACTCTTCAACGACATTGACTACCCACGGGAACTATACAACGAGGACGGCCATTTCACATCCTCAATACAAAATCTCCTGGACTTTGCACCCAGAGTATACAGTAAACATCTTCCAGCTCAAAGATCAGCACTAACGGCAACAACCCAACAACAACCAACACCAACCTTAACTTCATCGTTTTCATGGACGGCAACAGCACTGCAGACATTCGAATACGTGCTTCCGTTTGTAAAAGAGTATTATAAACACCACCTCAGAACGTCAGACCAGCAGTCGTCACAATCATCGTGGACGAGAGATGAAGACAAGCTAGATCGTCACCGAGAAAGAAAGTTTAAACGAGAACGAGACGAATGGGAAGAACGGAATCGTAAATTGAAGCAACGAGAACAGGAAGAGCGTGAAGAACGGAATCGTAAAGTAAATCAACATAAGTCCAAACACGCTCAAAGGTACTCTGATGAAGAAGAGAACGAGGAAGAAGATGATGTGGCTGCAACTGCAGAAGACACATCAACACGCAGCCTAATGATCGCCTCCTCAGCCGGCGCAGTAGCAGTATTCTCGGCATACAAGGCCGCCCAACACGTCGGCCAAGATGCATTCCACCAACAAGTAGCATCCATTCTCGAGGAATGCCAAGACGCAATCTCATCCACAAACCACTGGATTAAAGAACGGAAATCCATGTCACTGCCCATCCCCGATATAGTTATACGAGACGTCTTCCAAATCCAGAAACTCATCGACATAATGTATAGACTAGACGATTCGCTCACATCGAGGAGACTGATACCGGCTTATGCAGGTACTGGAGCCAGTGGGGCTGTACTGGCGTATACGGTGGCGAGTGGGTTTGGGATGAGGAATACGGTTAGTCAAGCTGCTTTGGCTGGGTTGGGTATATCGGTCATATATGCTGCGGCGGTGGTGGGATTGTATAGTAGTAGCGCATTTACAGAGTCTCGGCATGCGTTTGCTAGAACGGCAAAGGGGATTGTTGATGGTGGGATTGTTGATAGTGAGACTCATGCGGCAAGAGTCATTCAGGCCTTGTCAGTACGTGAAAGAGTTGACGAGCCTGTTGAAGAGGGTGTTAGGAAGGAGGAGATGCATAGTAGTAGAGTGCCTGTTGCTTCTGCGAGTGTACCTCAATCGTCTACCACTCCAATCAGAATCAACAGGAGGATTCCAGTAAACCAATTAAATTAAACCGCCCAATTTCGAAAAAGTAGAGGATGCATTTCATCAATTTTTTACATAATAATAAGTGCTGAAAGGCAGTAAATAAAATAATATCCAAAACTGAATTTAAGCAACATAGAAAAGGCCGGGAAACAAAAAGTTATAATAAGAGATGTTTTGAGGTATTTTTCATAGACCAGTAGCTTGAGGTTCAGGAGTCGTAAATCCCTGTGTAGCAGCAAACGGCACAATATTCGGTAACGGTGTAGCACTCACGGCCATTGGCATAGCACTTGTTGTAGCAGCCGTTGCAGCATACCCTATAATCCCACACGCCATTCTCGCACCACTGTTTCCCGTCGTGTTTGATACTGGGGAATTGCCTAGTTCAAAAATCAAGGAATCAGTCAATATTCTTGAATTCGTAGTCCAAAATCACTTCTTTTTTCTCATACCCAATCCAAGATCATCAACCATCGCATGAACCGTCAATCCTCGTCCAATAACAGAATACATGCCCGACAGCTTGATATAGTCGACAGTTATGGTACTCACAGCCATCCCGTTTGCATCTGCGACAATGTTGCCGAGGTCGCCTACGTGGTGGACTGTGCTATTTGGACCACCGTGAGCGACTTTGAATGGATTGTAATGAGGACTAGTGTTGTAACAATGATGTTAGTGTTTGGAAGATGGCCAAAAAAATGCATCCAAGGAATCGACAAATGAGGTATTGTCCTACCCCCAACCATCACACGAGTTGTTAGCTAGTTCATCGCCGAATTCATGAATGTGGAGCCCGTGATATCCAGGACTCAATCCGCTCAGCGTAACGGTGATAGACGTGGTTGTTCCAGAATCGACCTATGTGAATGCAGCGAATTCAGACTCGATGTACATGCAGCGATAGCGCCGACGCATTTTCTCGCCCAAATACATCAATAATCTACCGTTTCCGATCTGCGATTGATATAGCGACCGCTTCACATCAACTCACCAAAACAGCAGATCCGGCCACAGTTGAGTTCTGAACAGTACTTGGCATCATCTTGACATGAGCCGTGATGACTACAACGAAATTGAAGAGTATTAGGTTGATTGAGGCTTCATTTGTATCGACAATTCAAAGAAATTGAAAGCCAAAGCCTTTACCATTCATGACAGTGGCAGTAGCAGCAGGTGCAGCAGTTTGAAGCGGGGCAGCAGTTCCAGCTTCAAGACCAACGTACACTGGACTTGCCCGTATTGAATTGCTGCAGAAAATCAATCCGATGACCAGCCAATTCATAGCTCTTCTAAAGATGAGGCGGGTTGAGATGGATGAAGCTTAGCTGGTTCAATAGACGTTGCGTACCTTATTGAAAGCATATTGATCCGCTTATATCTGATGAGGATCACGTATAATGGCTTCCGGCTATCTCGTTTACAAGCGATTTGAGTTTCCAGTCAAAGCTGGCAGTGCGGTTTGATTTTTGTAGAAAGTTGAGAATCAAGCTAAGCATAGCAAAGCTACTTTACGACAACAATAAGCCACGATAATGGCAGCCCGCTCGCGAATCACTACGCACGTACTTGATGCCTCTAATGGTGTCCCTGCATCTGGAGTCGACGTGCAAATATCTGTCATGACTGGAAGCACTGGATTCAATGCTACTTGGCAGGTTCTTGCATCTGGGTACGTATGAAAAGTACGAAATTACGTGAATTATATGTATATATAGTCAACTTGTACATGTATCATATATAGAAAGACCGACTCTGACGGCCGATGCACGACATTACTCCTTGACGCTGCAGGAACTCCACTAGCATTGACACCCGGTGTTTACAAGCTGGATTTCGCTACCGCACCGTACTTTGAAGGGAAGGGCCAGAAATGCTTCTTTCCTTTCTGCTCGGTATGTACAGTATATTGAGGTTTGAGGTTGAGCTGACTTTGAAAAGTCCCCGTAGATATCGTTTGAAGTACCAAATCCACCACAACCACACTACCATGTACCATTGCTATTGAGCAATTATTCGTATAGCACGTATCGTGGCTCATAAGGATGTATAAAGGAGCATCACAATTGACAAAATACAAGATTGCACATTCACGAATATCTATTTGCCAAACAAATGTTATGAAGAGGGACCAGAAGATCATGTTCTGTTACGAGTATTAGAGATCCGCTTGATTTGCTGTTGATCAATGAAGTTCAAACTGGGCTGTAAACCAAGAAGCTGAATGTTTTGCATTTTGAGAAACTACTATATTTTGAAAGCAAATAACTACATTGGGAATTTAGAAAATGATGGAGTGGGACGCCTTAAGATCGTTCACCACGTAATCGTCGAGCCTATAACAATGACATGTCAACCAAAGTGCTCCAACAACAAACATTATAACAACCACCTACCAATTGAATATCCTTTGGCTGAATAGTAACACGCTTGGCATGGATGGCAGCCAAGTTAGTATCTTCAAACAGACCCACAAGGTATGCTTCAGCAGCTTCTTGGAGGGCACCGATAGCCGAAGACTGGAATCGCAAGTCAGTCTTGAAGTCCTGTGCGATTTCACGGACTAGACGTTGGAAGGGCAGTTTTCGGATCAAGAGTTCGGTACTCTTTTGGTAACTAGATGTGGAAATGGGTAAGGATAAGGTACTGTGACTGAACAAAAACCCTGATGTAGGCAAACACAAACACATACCGACGAATTTCTCGAAGAGCAACGGTTCCAGGACGGTATCTGTGTGGCTTCTTGACACCACCAGTAGCAGGGGCCGATTTACGGGCTGATTTGGTAGCCAATTGCTTTCTTGGGGCCTATTGATTGTATATGGTTAGAATTCAAGAAAACGGCAATACAGCAGCATAGGAAGGGATATGAGACGAGTATGCCATACGATAGCATAGCGAATCATATACGATGTACATACTTTGCCTCCAGTGGATTTACGGGCAGTTTGTTTAGTTCGTGCCATTGCTTGATTTTTTCGATGTCAAGGTGATGAGAAATCGCAAGAGGGGAAATCGTTGGCTTAAATACTTCCTCCTGAATTTGTTTATATTGAGAATTGACACACAGATCGATGCCAACTACCAATAGATAACGAGCGCAGTGGTGGGCACCTCCACTTCGCAGATATGAGATGTAAACAAAATATCTTTCAACCAATGAGCTCGTATCAACAAAAATCGTGGGACGAGTATTTAAATCGTGGTTACTTCCTCCTCACAAAAAACCCTCATCAGCACAATACAACAAAAGTTCTCCCAAGTTTTCAAACTAGAGAGATCAAAGCAACAACATGTCTGGTATGTACATCATCTGCATCGATTATTCTGCATATCTTTAGTTCGCTTATTAGTCATGAACTCGTTTATTAATTGCAATCTTCTTGACCAGGTAGAGGAAAAGGAGGGAAAGGCCTAGGAAAGGGTGGTGCCAAACGTGAGTATCTCATTACTATTCAAATGAATTATTATTATCATCATTCAAATTATCATTGTATCCATTTCTCATCCGATTCATCTGAACATCAGGTCATCGAAAGATTCTTCGTGACAACATCCAAGGAATCACCAAGCCTGCCATTCGTCGTCTCGCTCGTCGTGGAGGTGTCAAACGTATCTCTGGATTGATCTACGAAGAGTAAGTTGCAATGGTATTGCCGTTTATGTGTTATGGTTTGGTGACTACGCTCCTTCATGTTGCGAAAACTGATCTATTGCCACTATGAATTGATCATTATGATCATTGTATCATATCATGCATATTTCATCATCCATCGTACATATCACGATGATTATCATGGATCCTCCCCTGACACCGTAATAAATCGTTTTTTTAATTACTTTTTCTAGAACTCGAGGTGTCCTCAAAGTCTTCTTGGAAAACGTCATCCGTGATGCAGTTACCTACACTGAACACGCTAAGCGCAAGACAGTCACTTCCTTGGACGTTGTCTACGCTTTGGTACGTAAATGATTTGCTGTCTCATTCATGCCATCATTTTGGCATGCCCTCCTTCGTTTGCTCATTGTCTGACTCGCTTATAGAAAAGGCAAGGACGTACCCTCTACGGTTTCGGTGGTTAAAGCATCTTTTAATACGATCATCCCTCTCTGCGCTGTCAAGCAAAATTGTATATCTTGCAATATATTCTAGTTTCTTTATGCTCTGCAAAACTGTGCCGTTTAGATTACTTGCGAATGTGCAATGCACATACAACTTGACTTGCCATGACCTTGTTCTTCAAAAAGGAATGATTGAAACAATAGATCTACGGTATTTTACGTTTACAGTTAAATTATAAAACGCGTCCATAAGTAAGAAAAGCCCCCGTTTTGTATATTTCTGGTCATCCTCTCTTGTGGGAATGAGATGAAGGTTTTGATTTTCTATACGTCACGAGATATCAAAAGCACCACAAAGAAGGAAGTTCATGGAAGGTAGAGCAGAGCAATACATTAGGTCAACCGATATTATACGCTATTGATAGACATTCTACCTTCTCGCTCCTCCTCTTCGAAAGATAAACTAAAAGTAAGTGCCCCACAAACCCCCAAATCGCACAGCATGTGCATATCATCTGATATTTGCACCAGATGAAGCTATATGCTTACTCGACCTTTTAATATCTAAAATTAGACATACTGCTGTACTCTGCCTCTGGCCGTCTACGCCCTCTTTACAAACATCAGCATCACCTTCCCAAACACAAGATCAACAAATCACATGAATGGCTCTCCCAATCTCACTCCTCTTCCGACGATACAATAACGCCTATGACGACAAGATATCATCATCGCCACCTCTCCCAGGCGCATTCCCGGAACTGTCTTCATCCTCGGCAAGCTCCTCAAATGCAAGCTCATCGTCCTTACTCTCCACGAGTACAATCGACTCGGTCGCTTCATTATCATTATCAAACGAATCCATACTAGTAGAATCCCCAACAACAGACGATGCACAACAATTAAATCAACCAACAGGGCTGGACGCATTGCCTACCGAACTGTGCATTCGTATATTCTCGTATCTGGATGTACCGAAACTGCTTAAAGCGTCGATGGTGTGTAAAGGGTGGAATGAGATGGCGTATGATGGGAATCTGTGGGGGTGTATTGATATGGGCGAGTACTACAAGTATATTGGGCAGACACAGTTGCAGCGATTGGCGAGGAGGTCGGCTGGGTTTTTACGATATGCTAATTTCAGGTGAGTTTGAATTGTGAAGAATATTACTTCGGTTTGGTTGTGTGAAGGAGGGTATGGAAGGAACATCTGCAGGACGCAGAAATGTTGTGGGTTGACCTTTTCTTTTGTCTCCCCGAGTTTGCCTCATCTCAACCCCGAATATTGACATACTATCATCGTCTGTGTAGGGGCTGCTTGCAACTAACCTCGGCAGTCATGCGAGCGTTCGCAGTAAACTGTCACAATATCGAATTCCTATGTCTAGCCGGCTGCCGCTCAGCAGGACCCGCCTCCATCGCATATTTACTAGCCAAGTCTCCATCACTAAAGACTCTTGATTTCTCTGGTCTCGGATCAGTAAACAACACAACCTTGGAAATCTTGAGCAGCCACTGCCCAACTCTAGTCTCATTAAAAGCCTCCTTTTGTCGTACCATCACAGTAGTAGGAATCACAGCACTAGCACGAGGATGCCCACAACTATCAGATCTACAGTTGGCTCACTGTGGAGGTCTTGATGATGATGCAGTTAGTATGATGGCCACGTTACATGGACTTAAACGTCTCGTGTTGGCGTCATGTCCGTTTATAACTGATCAGGCATTGATTAGTTTATCAAAGTCAGAGTCTGTGGGTACATTACGACTCTTGAATATATCCAACTGTCCACTGGTTACGGATGTTGGGCTCGTAGTTATGGTAAAAGCTACTAGGAATTTAGGAACATTGGAAGTAGCTGGATGTCGTCTCTTGACTGATGTCGCCGTAACCACTGTAGCTACCAACTGTCCTCGACTACATCACTTGGACTTGGAAGAATGTGTCCAAGTGACCGATAACGCACTCATAACAGTATCAGCACACCTGAACAACACCCTACAAGCAATCTCGTTATCATATTGTGATGCAATAACCGATGAAGGTGCTCTATCGCTACTACGACAATGCCGGTATCTGGAGCATCTGGAATTAGATAACTGCTCAAGAATTACCAATGAGGTCTTATTATTTATTGGTCGTGAAGGGATTGCTAGTGGATTGAAGGAACTTGCTGTATGGGATTGTCGATTATTGTCTCCCTCGCAACTGGTAGCTGTTGGAAGTACCTCAGGAGTCAAGATTAGGTCGTTTTATACGAGATCGCAGGAGGGACGATCAAACACCAATAATAATAATAATCACAACAACCACAACAACCTTCCAATGCCCATGAATCTTATAAACAATAATAATGCAAGACGTGGTCGGCCATCTTGTAATATCTTCTAGGGAGTTGGGTTGATGATGTACATGATGACGGAAGAGGTAGTGGGATACTTTGCTGGAGTGCCGAGGAGTGTATTATTTTCGTTTTGCTTTATTTTCCTGTGTTTTGCTTTGATCGATTTTGGATTGTATTATTTTGATGTCCAGTACTACAAGTTCAAGTTTGTTGAAACCGCTGGATCTTTCAACCTTTCAACGCCGCAGGAATTGTGCGAACGTCCAAAACGGAGTGAACAGATCGATTTCCGATCTATTATAGTTGCTGGTTGGCTACGATGCTAGTTGGCAATGCTGAGTTCAGGTTTTTCCTTTTGCTTTTTCTCTGATTTGCTCATCTTGACGGCAAACAAAAACTCAAAAACCTAGCCATTCCAAGTATTCTAAGTAGCATAGCAAATCAGAACTAGTAAGTCCTTGTTACATGCTTAGGTCGTTGCAACCTGTATCTCAAACCTCCGGAGTCACTTTCTAACATCAAAACCAACCGGCAATACAGGCAGGAAGTACAGGCAAAATCATGTATAATCAACCATGGGGTCCGGTTCCCATGAGTGAACCTGTAGCATTTGACTACTCATCGCTACCATCATTGCGAGATTTGAATCTGCCAGCCAGCCAGAATTCGTCTCCGCAACGACCACAGATTCAACAACAACGAAATACTTGGAGTGGTTCTGCAACCACTTCAATGTCAAATGGAGATGTAGATTATAAGACTGATATGTAAGTGAACTATTATGTTTGCTTTCTTAAAACTTGGTTGCTAGCACCATTTTGGAGAATACGGCTGATGCTCCACGCCAAGCCTTCCAACAACAAAACTTGTGTGGATTGATAAAATGCAGCTACTAGTTACATCTTTCAAAACAGGGTAATTTTTATTCAAACCATTTCTATATCTTTACAGGTCGCATAATGGAATGATGGGTGGGCAACAACAGATGGCACCAAACTACTACAATATGCCAAACCAATACCATGCTCAGTCTCAACCGTATTTGGTACCATTCGTACCTATGGCTTCACATTTAGATCCGACACAGCAGCATATACAGCGTGGTGGGAGTTATGGGATGGCTCCGTCGAATATGCATACTTATCCACAACCGCAACAATCGTATTATGGAGGATATAATCCGAATATGATGGGTGGTGGTCCTATAAATCATGGTATGGGTGTACCCCAGCAGCAGGCGCGTCCCGTGTATGATGAGAATAGTGGGCATGGTGTGCGTGTCGTGTCTCCGCATCTAAATACTGCAGTAGCTGCTGCTGCTAATGCAACTCAACAGCAGCAACAGCTAGATGATACCAATAACAACACTGCCAAGCCTAAACAAAAGAGACAGGAGGACTCGGAATATGTAGGAGCGCTCGCTTTACTTGGGATGCGTAAACAGAGCGTAGTGCTGGATTCGAAACTACCTTCTCCACCACTATCAAACACGCAAACGCCGCAAACGTCACCTGCTCGTGTGCCTCTTCCTGTAAATTCTACGCCAGGATCTATATCAGCAGCAGGTGTTAAAAGTCATCCAGCAACAGTCATGTCAAATGGCTATCCAGATAATTCACAACAACAACCACAATTATTAGATAATCATGGTGGTGGTACTCCTGCGTTCTCAGGACTGGACGGATACGGAAACCCATCATTATGGAATACGAATTCGTATGGAGAATTGGATCCCCGTCAGTATGACTATAGCCAGCAGCAGCATGCTCAGCAGCATCAGCAAGCGTGGGCTCAACAGCAGCAACAGATGCAGCATCAACAGCAAATGAATCTCGGTGCTTCAATATCGCCAGCACAACAACAAATGAATCAACAACAGCAAATGTATCCGAATCGATATCATCATCAGACAATGTCTTTGCCAATGAATGGTGGTATGCCACAACCACCACCACAGCAAAAGCAGCCTAAAGGTGATGCCATACCATCACCACAACGTCCAACACCATCAGCCAAACGCACCAACAGCACAACGAGTAACGAAATAGACATGAGTAACTTGGAATTCGATCCAGCAGCCGAAGAACAAATCACTGTGGGGAATGTTACTGGACGTCGTCGTGGAGTTGCTGCTTCGCATGGTGGAGGCTCGATCTTTACTTGTGATCATCCTGGATGTGGGAAGACATTTAGGAGATTGTATAATTTGAAGTCGCATATGTGCTGTCATTTGGGTGAACGTCCGTTTGTTTGTGAGGAGTGTCATGTTACCTTCAAGTGAGTTGAGACGAGTTTTCGTTGGTGGCGGAAAAAAAACAATTCTAACCGCTTTCATCAAACGATAGACGTATTGCAGATTTGCGTCGTCATATTCGATGCTTGCATAGCACGATTCGACCCTTCATGTGTCCTACCTGTCATGTTGGATTCGCAAGGAGGTAAAGGAGTGTGCTTTGAAACCAAGTGCATTCATAGGTGATGTAACACAATTCTTTTGTGCCAGTGATGTCTTCCACCATCACGTAGAGTTCTGTAGAAACGAAACTCAACCTCCCGTCATTGTGAAAAGACCAGGACGTGGCGGAAGTCGTGTATCATTAGGAGGTATCACATCACCTGCATCGATATCTGCTGGAATGAGTGGTATTGGAGTCAACTCGCTACCCAAGTATGCTGAAGCTTACGGGCTTGGAAATCAGCAGCAAGTACAACAGCCGCAACAGCCATATAATGGACAGCCAGTATCGCCACACCAGCAGCCGCAACGAGGAGGACGGGAAATGGAAGACGGTGCTTATAATGGTCGCACATCGAGTGGTGGGAATGGAAGTGCATATGCAAGTCCAAGTCAGCAACAACAGTACCAGCAAGCACCACCGCCACCGCAACAGCAGCAACAGTCACAGCAATCGCAGCAGCCAAAGCCTGAAAGAATGTCGACACGAAACAAGAGATATGACTTTTCGAAGCTTGGAGAGTCGGATGAGGACGACGAAACTGAGGAGGAGTACAGGGATCAAGGAGATGATGACGATGAGTACAATGAGTAAGTGCAGTTGACAAAAGTCAATATATGAAGGTACTACCGAGAAAAGGTTGTATATTTTCGAAACGCTCATGATTTATAAAATTTTAAATTCCACGTCAAGATCAGATTGTTTTTGTGCTCTTGTCCTAGCGGCTTATTTGATTGGGTTCGCGTCCAAGTCCTCAAAACTTACTACTTTTCAGAAATCTCAGAAACCCGAAGCTTTCAGCATATATCAAACAACCACCATGGCGTCCAAAACAGCCTTAAAACGTAGCTACGCCGACCGTGCATCATCACATACAAATCCATTATCGAAGCGTCTGCTCACATTAATGGACGACAAGAGGACAAACCTCTGCATTGCTGCTGATGTGACGACCAAAAAGGAATTGCTGCAGCTTGCTGATGCTGCAGGACCAGGAATATGTATTTTAAAGGTAGCGTATCTAGTTATACTTGGAAGCTTTGGCACTAAGATGGAGGTCTGACATCAAACACTTTTTTTTCGAAAACTAGACACACATTGACATCATACAAGACTTTGACGCATCCCTAATAACGGAACTAACGGAATTGGCTACGAAACATAATTTCCTGATATTTGAGGATCGCAAGTTTGCTGATATTGGTAACATGATGCTCGCAATACATTCGCAACAAAAAAAAAACTCACAAACCTCCACATATGTAATAGGAAACACATCCCACCTACAATTCACATCAGGCATCTACCGCATCTCCCAATGGGCACACCTCATAACAGCCCACGCCGTCCCCGGTCCAGGAATCCTCACGGGCCTCTCCCAATCCAACTCTACAACCGGCTGTCTCCTCCTCGCTGAAATGTCACCAGTAGGAACACTCGCAACGGGCCACTATACGCGTCAGGCGATAGCCATGGCACATAAATTCCCAGATTTCGTGGTTGGGTTTATCGCAATGTCGAGATATGATGGTATTATTGAGGAACTGAAGGCCAGTAAGGAGGTGGAAGAGAACGTCGGATCGGATTTCCTGTATATGACGCCCGGAGTGGATTTGGCTGCTGGCGGAGATAAGATGGGACAGGTGTACAAGACGCCTAGGAATGTTATTGTGGAGAGGGGGAGTGATGTTATTATTGTTGGTAGGGGAATTTATGCTGGCGCGGGAGGTGGGATGGCGGATGTGGAGACGATTGGGAAGAGAGTGGAGCAGTTTAGGAAGGCCGGTTGGGATGCGTATGTTGAGAGGACTGCTTCTTTGTAAAGATTCAATTGTAGTTTGAAGGCGTTTTTTTTCGCTACACTTATAAGAATAAAATACTAGTCTTTGTTTACTTACACCGCTTTTACGAAGCGATTGCAATCATTAATTATGGACGTACACACACAGCAAAAAGACACAGCGAGAGAACATTCTCCACCCAAGATAGGCGTTTCCTCAATCACCTTCCTACTACACCTCCCCATCGACGACCATTCTTAATATTCCAATACACTGAGCAATCGTTTGAACTCTGGTGTCTTGCTCTCCGAAGCTTGCAAGCCTTCAGCGTTCAGAGACGGAAGTAATATGAGAACCACAATCAAATCTCGTCTGGCAAAAAAACAAGACTCAGCACCATCAAATAAGCACTCTAGCATTCCATTGCCCTGTTATATAAGGAGATGATGCGTGAGTAAATGTAGAATGAGACTGAGTTTGGATAAATCGATGCCAAAGGCAAAAAATACGTAATGAGGTATATTGTACTGCACATTTCGAATGCCAATTGAAAACGACAACCACACCAGTTCTATTGGATTTCGTACCCAGACACTAACGTCGTATCGACCTCGTTGAATTGGAAGCGGATCGGTGAAGCTAATCTTTAATACACGTCATAAGGCGTGGTTCCTGATAGATTGCCTAAGACCTACGTTTCAAATCCACCAAATCAACAACATGGACGCAGAGATAGGATTTCATTACCAGCACCAAAAAAAGAAACCGCCAGTAGAAGATGATGAATAGCTCGGTCATCACAAATTTGCAGCAGTATGGAAATCGATAGTGTACTTCCTGAAGCAGGTTACTGATTGATTTTGATGTCGATAGTGTCATGCACATACTTCACATGACTTTGACTACGGTACTAGATAGAATAACCGCGACTATGATTGTCCATTTCAAAGTTCTTTTCAAGCCCGGTTCTGTTGGAGCGAGCTAAACCACTAAAAAACCGTTGAGTTAGAAACTAATCACTACAAGACACGGAGACGCGATACAACCATCGATTTTTGGAATCTCTCTTGCAAGATTTATAGCAACCGAATCATACCTGACAGGAAGATTATCTTGACGTCGATAGTACACATCCATCTGGAGGAATAACGAGCCAGACATTCCTCATCAGCACTAGAGAAATCACCAACAGCTACAGATGCCAAATGTTTTGAATATGACTGTTGCATGCTAAGTTGATAGTGTACTTCCTAAAGTGGACGACTGTTTGATGAAGACAGTGTCAGCACATAGATCACACGAGTGGGACCACAGTAGTAGGCAGAGTAGCGGGGCTTTCTAAAGTCCATACTCAGAATCTTCCAGATGCCCGTCCTTCTTAGAGCACCCTAAACCACAAAATCTCAAAGAATCTTCCAACCCAACTACCAACTAATTCAAGCCACACTGACTAGCTCAGAGAATACTGCAGTAGTTAAATAGTGTAGCATAGCTACAATGAACAGCTTAGCAGCTTAATTTGGCTGTTTTGGACCACTTCATGCACATATCCTTTGTTTGTCGCGTCCTAACTTTGCCAATTCTAAACATTTCTTTTCAAACTAAACGAGACCACATTGGTGGAAATATTGTCCAATATATTACGTTCCTTCTCACTCTTCAAACTCCTCATGCATCTGCTAATCACGTGTTTCGTTTGAAAGTGATTTGTTGCGCCTTTATCAAAGCCACTTGCATGAATGACCTCGACGACGGGCAACAGCAATTCGTACATTCCAAAAAACCCAGAAAACGACCAAAATCACCAAAGCACATTCTGGGACCACTCATACAGCCACATCCAGGTATGCATCAAGTCCCCTCTTGACTGGTATGAATGCTGCTGCAAGTTTTTGATGTTTTGTTTTTTCGACCTGGTTGGGATGCAACCAATTTTGTATTGTATGGCACAGCAATTAGACGGATTGTGTAGACTAATAGTCCATCCATCGAATAGGCCTACTTTCTCTCTGGCTGCCTTCTAACTGCGGTCTGGATCTATCGTGGAAAGTTCGACGATCTCAAGTAAGCCACACACATTTTTTCGCTTGTTCTCCTTGTAAATGCAAGTGTGAGGATACTTTAGCCTAATCATGCATCCATCGAATAGGCCCACTCTCCTTCGAGCTCTCTTACCCTTGTGGCCTAGATCCATGGTCGAACTTTCAACAACACCACCCCCACCTCTCCTGGTCCACCTCAAGCCATCAATGGTGTTTTACTATACTCAAACCTACACATTGACTACATTGCACGGTCATAGCTTGTAGAACTGCCGCTCATTATTTGCTTTGCCAAATACCCATAGCGTGGCAAAAATCTGCTCTTCACGAGTAGAGAAGCCATTGCTGAGCGGATTTCTATACAAGTACCAGTAGTCGGTGGAACCACCATGTGTTGGTAGGAGACTAGAGTAAGGATACCATGATGGGTAGCAAGATCTTCAAGGCACAAAGATAAGTAAAAAGTATTTCAAATTGTTGCAGTTAGTGAATCGGAAGGGACGCCAAATATCAGTATTGCATTCGTCCTCGAATTTGGTGGAAGAGGTGGACATGAGGCTTGTTTGCGTACTGATTGTTTGAATGGAAGGACAGTCTACGGAGGCGTGGTTGGTGAAAACGGGCAGGCCGCAAGGCTGCTTGGTTTTTGGGCTATTCCTGGATAACCAATGATACCGGGTCTCTCCCATGAGGAGTGGAAGATTCGAGTGCAATTTCGTCCTGTTGCATGACGCGGCCATAGTAGCTGACAAACTTCAAGGCTGTACATTGGTTATTGCGTCCCAACTTTTGAGTTCTTTTGTAATGAAATTTGACGGATTGGAGATCACATTATACGAATACTAACACATTACCCTTGGCTTCTAGGAATGGTCTTCAAAACTCCAGTGGTCTAGGAAATCAATGCGGTCTCTCTCTCCCTCTCTTCAAGAACCAAGAACCAAGGTCTTCTCTGCTAGGACTTGGACCCGCATAATATACACACTCGGGCCTTTTCGTTTCAATCGTACTGTATAAATCACCATTATTGTCAACGCCCAAACATTTGAATAACACCGTTCGATCATCTCATGAACAACATATTGATGTTAGGCTAATAGTCCAAGTTTTGTGATAGCAGCATGTTCAAACTCGTCTTGATTGAAGACTTGTACTGGGTATCGAGAAGTGAAAACTTGATGGGCCATGACATTGAGTTACAGAAATGGCCTCTCCTCCATAACTTTCCATATTGGCAATAGTGTGGCCTACGTCCAGAGCACCATCAAGCTCCATTCTTTATCAGCACTCTATCCAGAGTTCAACGTCCAACTTCAGCTGCATCACTGTCTGGCTGCACACTAGCATCTCCTGCTTCAGAGCCATCACAATATCCTTCATAGCGTCCTCAAACTCTCCTGTATCAGCAGAGTCGTCGTCTTGCTGCTCGTCGCCAGTTTGAAAAATGCGTAAATAACCAACCTCTTCATTGGCCACTATTTTGCCATTCAAGCATTTGCTAACGATGGCAGCACGGTTGAAATGTCAATCTCGCTCTTCAACTAGACTACAGTGGATATTAGCTTGTTTCTTCCTCTTTCTCCTCTTCGTAAACTCCATACAATGTTCATGGTTCAGAGTTTTTAGCTGAAGCATTTGCAATAGCCTGGTACGTACCAACTCTCTTTTTATCTCCTCCTGATTCAACATGAATCCGTTTGTGTGGTGAGCTTTGTATTGCCAAAGACCTTTACCTTTCCAACTCACGCGAACACCACGAAACATTAAGAACAAAATTCACAAAGAGACTTGCTGGCAGACTTCAAATAAGCTTTTATTTCCACTCCCTCCAACAAAAACAAACCCTTCTCTACACTCCTCACGCATTTATAGTCTTGAATATCGCCATCCCATCCGACGCGGTAACAACCGCAACCCCCTCTCTCCCAGCATCCCGACACCATCTGCCTTCCTTCATCTCGGTCTGTCCCTGATGAACAAACAACAGTTGTGGAGGCACATCGACTTCTTTCTTGGGTCCCGTACCCAACACCAATTCTTCCTCAGGGTCTCGTTCAAGGGACAAGTCCCATATTGTCGTGGTATCGTCTCCACATGTAAGCAGCAGGACTGATGCATCGACTGGATGCCATTCTATCGATGTTATGGGTTTCTTGTGCCAGGAGAAGGTGGCGGCTGGTACCGGTGGTGTGGAGTCAGTTACTTGCTGGAACTGACGGAGATCCCATATGCTGAATTCACCGGATTCACTTCCGGAAGCAAGGAGGTGCGATACAGATCTAATGACAAGAAGCGGGGGAGTTTCAAGTCAGTTTGGCATTGATTCGTTTACATCTATTTCCTTTTTTCCTTCGTAACAACGAAATGCAAAAACGGTTTCATAAATGAACTTGGATGTGGTGCCAAAAAATTTAGTGCACATAATCAACGAGAAGTAATGAATACATGCGTGGAGATGGCCTTGAATTGATCTCGCTTGACAATCCCGTACAGCCATAGCACAAACTGATTATCACAGAATGGCGACTTGATAATGGGAAGCGGTACAAGCTTTTGTGTTGTGTTGCTTTGAAGACAAAATCTGCCTTGTTTTAGCGCTGGTTTTTTTGTGCATCAAACTCACCGATTCCAAGAAACCACATTAACATCACTAGCATGGCATGTGACGCTCAGTTGAGCCTTTCCTCTCTTCTTGGCTCTGGCATCCCATATCTTTACAGTCCCATCAGCAGAGCATGATGCAAACACATCCTTTTCTGTTGGCGACCATTGCAAGTCTTCGACCGACGCGGTGTGTGCCAAGAAGGGAGTGGTTTCGGTTTCGAATGACGATGTAGTGCGAGATGTTAAATATATATTGTTGGATACGTCGCCGGTTAGTAACCTAAAAAACATCCAGTTGAGCTGAGCCCACAGCAAAAAATGTCCGCTGTTCATCGATGATTCACCTTCCAGATGTGAGCAAACTCCAATCCATAGCATATCCTTCCACTCGTTTATGATCAACTATTCCAATAGGAGTGGCTGCTTCCTTTGGCACGACATAACCAGGAGAATCCAGTGCATTGACGTATGGAGCGACATTCCATATTCTCACTTGTCCTACTTCAGACCAAGCCGCCACTAGTTGTATGGACGGATCCTGATGTGGCATAGCCCTGACTCTATTTATACCAGCAGTTTGTGGTATGGTCTTGTATTCCAGTATCGGGTCGTCGTCGAGATCAGATTCATGGTCTGAGTCGTCGTCTTGCATTTCTAGAAAGAAACAACGAGACGGTTTTAGTCAGGAAGCCACACCAAAAAATCACCTTCCATTTATATGCTTACGCACCGTTATCATCATCGTGCTTTGTCCGGTGCAGTTGAGAAGCCTTCATTATATACACCTTATTATCCTTTGGCCGCTCGGCTTGAGATCCAGATACCATGTATACGGAGACTGGGTATCCAGAAGTAGGCACAGGCGAAGACAGAAAGTCGAGGGACAGACATGGCCACTCGACACCCATAAAGTGCAGCATCTCGTACGCAGAGTTGTCTGGTACGAGCACTTCGCCTTCATCGAGGGCCTGGCCTGGTAGATATACCTGCAGAAAAAAGTGCTGTTAATACGTGCGTGCCTTGGTAGCAATGTGGTTTTTGTGCCGAGTGTCGAACTTACATCTAGAGCATCCTCAAGCTCTTCCTCGTCGTCCAGCTGCTTTTCTGCATCAACGTCCATATCTAGAATGAATGAAATTAGCATCTTTCAAGTTCACATCCAGCACAAAAATGTGTCTCATATACACCTTCATCCTCATCATCACTGTCCTGATGTACAATTACATCTCCTTCCTCGTCGTCCTCCTCATCGTCGTTATCATCCTCCCAAGCATCCTCAAACTCTCCTATGTCGTCGGCATCATCAGCCTGATCCTTTATAGCTTGGGAGTGTACGGACGACTCGACTTGTTCCTTTGCGAGCTTTCGTATTGGAGTGGTTGCTGGCGATGGCAAGGCGGTCGAATGTTCACTTTCTTGAGGAGCTAGTGAGCTCTGCTCGTCCTGTCTCCTCTTCTTGCCCATTTTTTGTATGAAGCGATTGAATTTTTTTTTTGGTGAAACAGATCAGCAAAAAAAAGGCCAAATCCAACGTTTTAAAGCCATCAAATGCCTGCAATGAGCAGTATTATGCTCTCATGGCTTATAATAAGCTTAATCACGTATATAGTACCCATGGAACTGCTCAAGAGTGAGAAATTCGCTGTCGCGCATGCTAGTCACGAATCTTTTCGTCAGTGGCGAGTTGCGGATAGATGTCATTGTGAGATCTCGCGTCCATTTAATATCAAGAATTGATATCCACGCTTTGTTCGCTCGCCTTTGGCACTGCAAATTTCTCTGACATGTGTTTAAGGACCAAAAAAAAAAGGAGACCAGTCTCATAACCAAGCTGAATTACAGGCAGAATAAACAAGGGACGATAGACTCATAGCAATGGCATCCGTCAAGACTGCTCTAGACACTTCAAAGAGGATTGCCTTCATTGGTATGTCGTTATATTTCTCCATTTTTGCAAACAAGGCAGTATTGACCTGCCATTCATGTTACGATGCAAGACGTACACACGTACTGACTATTCGAACAATATCCTTACAATCAGGTGGTGGCAACATGGCTTCAGCAATGATAGGAGGTCTCCTAGCAAATGCATATCCTGCAAGCAACATTGTCGTCTCGGAACCAATCCAGGAACGAGCTGCCCATCTCAAATCCCACTTCAAAGTCGGCGTGGCCTCAACAAACGAAGACGCCGTCAACTTTACCGGCCACTACTCTCAAAAACCAGCTGACATCGTCATACTTGCTGTAAAACCCCAAGTCATGAAACCCGTAGCCAGCAGTATCGCAAAAGTGTGCCAATCTATACGCCCGCTCGTAATCACCATTGCTGCCGGAATACGCACTCCAGATCTGAATCGCTGGTTGTCGAGTGACGAGAATGGAGTCCAGCTGCCATCTGCTCGTAATATCGCACTTGTACGAGCAATGCCAAACACCCCGGCATTGGTATTAGAAGGTGCTACTGCTCTATTCGCAGGTCTAGGTGTCACCCAGCAGCAAAAGCAGGAAACGTATAATGTCATTGACTCGGTATCCAATCGTACATATTGGGTCGAACAAGAAAATCTATTGGATGTCGTTACCGCCCTATCTGGAACCGGCCCAGCATACTTCTTCTTGTTGATTGAATGCTTGGAACAGGCTGCAGTACAACTAGGTCTGCCTAAAGAAGTGGCTAAAGGTTTGGCTGCTCAAACTGCCCTGGGAGCTGGTAAAATGGCCATATCCAGTCCCTTTGAACCACGGGAATTGAGACTGCAAGTCACGTCTCCCAATGGTACTACTGAAGCTGCTATGAAGCTACTCGAATCTGCTGGTGTACGTAAAATGTTTGCTCAGGCCGTCGTAGCTGCCATGAATCGTAGTATCGAGTTGGGTGAATTGTTTGGCAAGGACAACCAACCGGTAAGTTTGATGTAGTGGACGTCTTCGTGTCTGGCAAAGCAGTACGTTGTTATCCCTCGTTTACCTTTTTTTGCACAGGTTTACATCAACGATCCAAAAAAGATAGCTGCAGTAGCTGCCCCAGTTAAACCAACTGTAAGCAAACTATAAAGTCTCTTCACACAAAAAGGAGCTACAACTTGTTTTTTGAGCATGTCGCAAGCATGAAGGACGTAATAGAAATGCATACAGTTTGGAACGACCAACTCTTTTTTTGCGCGTGTCGTTTTCGCACAAACATCACTTTCGAGCCGTAACAATCGCTGCGATGGACACGGATCTAAATGCATTGTTTGCCAAGCATACGGTCGTTGGAACTGCATTGCTGAAAAAGAATAAGGAGATCATCGCATCTGCAAAGATTGAACAACTTCAACAGGCTGTTGAGGCTGCTTCACCGCCAGACACGCCAAAGAAGCGAAAGAGAAGCTCAAACCCTGTAGAAGAGGTATTACAACGAAACTCTATTGCTTGATCTCATGTTTTCATCTACTCAATCTATCCGCATATTGACATCAACTTTTTTTTTGAAAGATCGAAGCTACACCTAAAAAGGTGAAATCCAGCAAAAAGGCATCAAAGAAGCATCAACCGGACGATGAAACTCGTAGTGATCAAGATATAGAAGCTGCTGCTGAGGATGTCGTTATGGAAGACGTGGTGTTAGTCGAGCCAACACCTGTAGTAAAAGCACCTGTGGAAGAAAAGAAGGTGACTCGACCGCCTAAAACATCTGGCAAGAAGGTGCCTGTTACGGATAGTCCTGAGAAACTTGCCAGGACTATCTTTGTGGGGAATGTCAGTACGGATGTCCTCGAGAAGGTGAAAATAGTGTTTGCACACTCTTCGCGATTGTGGTTTTTTTGCTACAGTAGTTGTACTAATCCACCAATCATATATTATCTCTCCTGTCCAGGCCGTATTAAAAGAATTCAAGGCCATCTTCTCCACGTACGGCCGTATCGAATCAATCCGATTCAGATCACTAGCATTCTCCATTGCACTTCCCCGAAAGGTATCCTTTATAGCCAAGAAGCTACATCCAGGTCGTGATACGTGCCACGCATATATCGTTTACGCTCCCACGGAACCATCATCAGATAAAACCAACACCACTATAAAACCAGCCCAAGCAGCCCTCGCTGCAAACGGAACCGAATTCCATTCCAAACACCTCCGTGTAGACGGCCTTTCCACCAACGCCGAAAAGCACGACCGTAAACGAACCGTGTTTGTTGGAAACCTAGACTTTACCATCGCGGACGAGACACTACGGGCTGCATTTGAATCATGTGGTGATATTCACGCCGTGCGTGTTGTACGTGACAAGAAGACTAATCTGGGAAAAGGGATTGGGTATGTCACATTCACGGACGTGTCGTGTGTGTCGATTGCGCTGAGGATGGATGGTTTGGAGATTGCGGGACGGCCGGTGAGGGTTAGTCGATGTGAAAAGGAGAAGGTGAAGGAGGATGATAGGATTGTGTGGGAGGGTGCGAGGTCAAAGAGAGGGGATGTGGGGACTAATAGTAAGAAGAAGGGGACAAAGAAGAGGAGGGAGGCTGAGAGGAAGCATGGTGGTGGGAAGAGTAATAGTAGTACGGGTGGTAGTAAGGGTGGTAAAGGTCCTGCTAAAGGCCATTCCAAGGGATTGAAACGCAAGTAGTGTGTTGTGTAGTGTCGGTAATAGATTTTTGCATGATGTGAATATTTGCATATGTGTTTTTGTTTCTGTGCTGCTTTTGCACTTTTCTGTATAGGTGAAACAATTCCAGTTGGACAGTAGTCATTGAGATCAGGACTATACTGACAGATGCCAGATGGTTTTTGAGAGCTCTCGGTTGATTTTTTTTGTTTTGTTGTGTGCTCAATTGATTTCACAGAATCCTTAAAATGTATCCAATATTTCATTTCAGCCCCTCAACCCAGATAATTATTACTCACCATATCAACTCTCTTAGCGGAACACATTCCATCTGCCGAAGAGTTTCAACGCTCTCCTTCTGTGTGAAAAGGACGTGTTTGTTCTGTGGTTTGCTAATGGATTTGCCTGCGATGCTAGAGCTAAGAAGAGGCACAAGGCTCGGTCCAGCATGCAAGATCATACCAGTTATAGTGGCGTTATGGCTTGGAAAGGGTACGCTGACAAAAAAAAAATCCATGGAATCCGTGTGTATAGGCTTCGAAGCCAAAACGGTCTTGTAATTCTTCCCAGGACCAAGTCTCCATTCTGTGATGACCAATTTTCGATCATACATGTACGGTATTATCAAGTGAGATCAGCCGATGCCATCTCCAAACCACGTATACAACTCTCTCGTTGACTGGGAACACAGAATGTTTGGCAAGACACATTTCATGTGGTGAAAGCCTTGACTTTCTTTGACCAAGGACTTATGTGAAATCCGTAAAGTCACCAAATACACACGACCAGTACCACCAGCCACCTTCTAATGGCACAAGAACCCAACAACCTTCCTCATCGGAACCGACATATGTACCCTGCCTCCGTTTTCAGCAGATGACACAACGACTACATGAGATTCATCTCGAGCCGACCTGTGCCAAATCAGCTGCGTTACGGGCCACCTTTCATTTCAATCCCCAGTACTAATGTGACCGTGACCACCCTTGAAACCCATTGCTCTACCTTCATAGGTGCAATTGTGTGTATATGAGATGAAAAATGTCATTACAATGAATAAAACAAAGTCCTGCAATAATCAGCGTGCGTTTCCCGATTCTCGTTGCAACCTAAGAGCTAGAGTGTTAGGATCAGATCCTTAAATCACATTAGTTCGTTCATACCTCCTTAGATATGTGGTAGACACCAGATTCCAGGTTTGAATATACGTGTCTACACAGCGACTAAGACAAGTCTGAGAGGAAAGTGAGAGAGGTTAGGCTCAAAAGTCGACAAAGAGGACGTTCCGTTTCGTGTATACCGTTTCAGTGGTATCTAGTCGAGATCCAGGCTTCAACACACATTTCTCAAAGCATCTATAAAGATGAAAGTGGAGTCTTTATACGCAAATTGACATCGTCTCATATCGAATCCAACGTTGAGCGTACTTTGTGTTGATGCGCTATGAAAAAAACACGTCAGAACCGTAGGTCTGCGAGATAAAGGAGGAGGGCTTACTGCTAGTAGTTCCTGAAAGTTCTGTTGAGCTAGTTCAGATCGCACTTGGTTCATGACCTGCGTTTTCTATGAACAGAAAAAAGTTGACCATCAGCATCGTTGCAGGTAACTGGCCTAGGAAAGAACTGAAAGCGAGCAGGTTACAACGGTACCTGCGCTGCATTGACTCCCGACATATTCAGGGAAACAAAGAAGGTGAGTGCTTGATCTTGTTACTCTACGTTGTTGTTGTGTGAGAACGTTTGGAGGCGATGCGCACATAAGATGAATATGTGAACTGTTCAATTGATATAATGAATATATTACATCACTAGGCGCATCTATATCAGTGGAAACAAACGTGAGGTGGAAGCATTCTTCGCCAAAGAATTCAGCATTTACTCAAAATTTCAACTCCAGCCTGATTTCGAGGATTCTGACAATCTGGACCACAAGCTGGATCTGAAACAAGCTTCCAGAGCAGCGATTCCATTACCAAACGATATAGGGACGTCTTCTTCGACGCCATCAAAGAAGAAGAAGCTCTATGGAGCCAAATCAGTCTATACCTCCTTCATGACCAACACATTGAATGGCAAATCACCGCCGCCCTCCTCGGCACGGCCTTCAGCATCGGCTGCTGCTGCATCTGCAATCACATTCATATTCACAAACGGCGTCCCGGCCCGATTCCGTATGGCATCGAGAATCGCACTTGTGGTAGTCACCCTTATCGTAATATACGCTGCCTACCATTCGCTCGGGACTGCATTCTCATATATACGAGAGCTACCGTTATACTTCCATGTATTGCTATTAATCAATCTGGGGTTGTGGTGTGGAGCTACCAACATACATATCCTTAGTGTGTTTGGTATTGATGCTGCTGTACTCTTGGAAACTGGAGCAGGTGGCCCGACACAGGCACTGGATAAGATATCACTGGCCATGTCGTCAAGTCCACCGTATACGCCTCTAAGCCCAACGGCTAGTCCCAACAACCTGCCATTCTCAGATAATAATATAGACGATGGAAAGGCTGTATCTGGTCCTCTTCTTGCTCAGCAAACGGGATGGATTCCACGGGACATGTATACGCTTGCTCTAATAATAAGTTGTGTGACGGTCTTGTCGCTGGCTGCATTTGGTGGAGCTGCTTCGAGATGGGGTGAACCTGCTGCTGAACGAGTAGCTGCTGCTACGTATGCTCTGATTCTAATATTGACATTCTTGCCATTTGATACTTTATATCGTAACTTGCGGGTCAAGTTCTTGAGGTAATGGCTCTATTGTTTGCAAACAGCGTCTTCAAGTTTCATACTCACCTCCTTTTGTTCGCAATTCAGGTCTCTGAGACGTATTGCATTTGGAACACTATACTCGGAAGTGCCGTTCTGTGATGTCATATTGGCTGATATATTGACCTCCTATTCTCGAGTCTTTGGAGATTTGCAGATTGTATTTTGGACACTAGTTATGCCAGATGAAGAAATCGTGCCTGCTGCCAGAGCAGGTCATCCGGGAGATAAGACTGGCACTGCTGTAACTGTAGTAGCTCCGACATCTATACTTGGCTCATGGACGGACTTGGTTGCCCCGATACTGATCAGGTAGTAAAAAAATTTCTCCAAGTGATGAATCCATCATTGCTAACAACGTTACTTCAACACCAGCGGTCCCTTCTTGTTTCGGTTACGACAATGTATATCTGAATATAACCTAGCTTCGGAACCTGCAGCAAAGAATCGACACTTGGCCAACGCTGGGAAATATCTGTCAGCTATACCCGTCATCATGTCGTCATTTATGATCAATTGGCTGCGGATGTCTTATCGTGGTGCTGCCTTTTCATCAAGTGGGCTGAGCGCTGAAGAGTTGCTCAAGGCTGAATGGAAGCTCGACTTTGCTGTGGGCATTTGGTAACGCGCTTATACTCTTGTTGTTGCCCTCAAGCAATCTCTCACACATCGTTCAATACAGGGTCTTCTTCTCAATCGTGAATTCGCTATTCTCTATATATTGGGACTTGATAATGGATTGGTCATTGTTTAGGAGGCGGCATCGTCACTTGCCAGCCTTCCCTAGGTTTCTGAGACCCATACTTCACTTCAAGCACCCCGTGGCATATTACGTTGCCGTCGTAATCAATGTAATGTTAAGGCTGTGTTGGACTATCAAGGTCCCACTCTTCTTTGCTCTAGTGGATGCAACAGTGAAACCTTCAGCACCTGGAGTTAGGCCTGAAGAAGAGCAGATCCCAATGCTGCTTGGAGTTGATTTGGCTCTCAAAGTAGCTGAGGTGCTTAGGAGGTGGTTGTGGGTGTTTTTCCGTATTGAACGTGAATTGGTGTCGAAGGGGTACTCTCAGATGGAAGATACACCATAAAACGATCAGAATAAGCTGTAGATTGGTAACAATGGAGAAATGTAAGTTGATGGAGTAGATTTTTCATATGTAAATGATACCATAACAAATAGATGTACTTTGCAGAACTTTCGGGCGTGACAACGTTTTGTGCCGCCCTTAGCATATGCGATCAGAACTTTCAACCTGGCATGTTATTGCGAGTTTGAGTCGAGAGCCCATAATTCCGCTTGCGGTTAGAGATCTTGCAAGTTTGGTGCTCTTCCCATTATCAAGCTTTCGTTCTTTCACATTTACAGAAACCCCTTAAACAACAGCAGACCAGGATGAATACCGCTTCGAGACAGAAGGCGTCAACTCTGACAAGGCAAGCAGCTACCAGCCAACCCATGGCAGCCCCGCAGCAAGTCTCATGGTCGCCTCCGGCAGTTGAAGAAAGACCTGGTCGAGCTGTTACAAACGATACATTAGGCAGGAACAGGAAGCGTTCCAAGTCTAGAGACATGGCTCTCAAAAAGATTGGAATACTGCTAAGCTATTCCGGAAAGGGATACTACGCTCTTGAAAAGTACGTACTGTGCAAACACACACATTTGATCATTTCGATGACCACCCAAAAGCTTATCATAAACGACATGAGGCACTAACCCAAAACTGGTTGACCACGTGTAGGGCGAAAGGCCAACGGACTATTGAGGGCGATATCATTACGGCGTTGGAGACTTTGGGGCTTGCACAAGGCGTACGTTTTGGGAGTGTGGAAGACTTGGCGTTGGTTCAGGAAAGGCTGGCAACACATGGGCTAACGGCTTTCAATGATTCTTTTGTTAGCAATCGCTTCGAATCAGTCGTAGTGGGAATACGGTTGAAGGTGGACATGCTGCTCGACAAGTTTTGTCGTTGGAGATAAGTGTACTTAGTCGATTTTATTCTGTTTACAAGAAGAGGATAGCTTTCCTCTACCCTCCACAAATTACATTGTGAACAAGAAACTCACAGTATATTTTGTCCCCTCCACGTAGTCGATGACGACAAACCCTACGTCGTTGACACTCTCAACCAGCTCCTCCCCGAACAAATCCGAATCTGGGGACTGGTCCGCACAGTGCAAGACTTTTCCGCCCGTCGAAACTGCGATTCTCAGACATGGACATACTGGCTCCCCACATATTCCTTCATACCACCACCAGCAACAACAGCATACGCATACCCACCCCAACGTGAAGAATATCCCATGCCCCCTCCAGAACCACAAGGTGATAACGGTCTCCTCTCGGGACTCCGTAAAATGACGATTGGCAGAACACGTCGTAAATCATTATACGGGTCGTCTGGACTAGCGCTACCGGGCGAATCAGCAGATCCACTTGATGCTGTTCGTAGCGCTGGGTCTGGACAGATGGCTACGCCACCTGCGTCTCCACGATCACCGAGTGGTGCGAATAGTCGGCCTACGTTGCAGCAGGGGCCGATTGATATCGCGCCGCCCAGTGAGCAGGAGTTGTTGCGGATGCAGCAGTACCGTGCTTCTCCACAGGTATTTTGCTGTTCACCCTCATCGTTTTTCTGAGCATCGCCTTTTTGTAGCTGGAGTTGGTTTAAGACCATCTTTCTTGTTTAGCAACTGGACGCATTACAACATATGATGGGAATGTATCGCGGGAGCCATAATTGGCATAACTATGTCAGGAATGGGAGTTATGAGGAGATGGGACATGATATGGTTCAAAACGTGATGGTATGTGGCCCACTCGGATTTGCGGTTTTTTTTCTCATAATCTGACAACTTTTGATATTCGCCAGTGCTCACCGCCAGAGTATCATAACAATATGGAATGGGTTCGAATCACTTTTACGGCAGCAAACTTCCACAAGGTAGCCCACCAAAAAAAAGTACAACCATCATACTGACGGACCCACACTGACTTTGGTCATTTCCCTAGTATCAAATACTTAAAATGGTAGCCCTCGCAGTCCTCATCATACGAACCAACACACCCCGGTCTATCGTCGCCAACAGTTTCGGATTTGCAAATATCGACATTCCAGAAGCACCGGCATATTCACTGGTCCTCGAAGACTCGAAATACGACGGCATTAACGGTGAAATGCAGAAACTTATTTCTGCGTCATCGACATTTGCTACTACGTTGGGGACTATAAAGTTTGCTCCTTACAATGTAAGCTCGCAGGCAGTTATCATGTTTGGGCGATATGTTTCCTTTGGTAGTGACGATTTTTTACCATTCATTAGCCACAAATTGAAGAATTTAAGCAACGATTCATCTATGAGGAGATATTCAACGATGAAGCTGAAATCATGGGCTTTGAGGCATGGATGCGAACACTGGACAAGTTCAGTTTCTTGTATCATTATCTGAATCCAAGGGGTGTTTTGGATTTGTCTGAAGTAAGCTAATCGAGAGCTTCGGCTCTTACATGTTTATGTGGTGTAAGATGTCTAAAACGTTTTCTCACTTCTTAGTTCCAACGTGGCGGAAGATAAATACCTCTAGAACTCTAGAGTAATATGGAAACCTCAATATCGGCTGCGTAATAATGTTACCTTATAATATCTGTACCCAAACTAGCAAACATTTGTAAACCTGAAATGAATCTGTGCATCAAGAATAAGAAACAGAAAGTTGTTATGATGGTAGATCGTGACATGCGCGTAATTTACAGTTTAGTGTACTCTTATATAGCTTGTTGCAAGAACTTTGGTGATGATTGTCGGAGTTGCGTCTTCCAGCAGTTCTCTCACAAAACTGTACATCACTACACTGTTGGGCTTATCGAAGATACATGGCGCTCACAGTTAGACTCGTGTCAAAGATAATAATCTACCGTATCATTTAATCTAATTGAGAAAATACCCACACTCGCCCTCACATGTTTTGGGTAAAATCAGGCTGGATGTCGCTGGATGATGGTGGTACTTTCATTGATTACCACTATAACCTTCATTCTATTGAAACGTATTTATGGTGCATTTATTGCTTCATCATCAAGTCCAACAATTCAACTACACAAACCTTGCTCCTTTTACACTGGTCAAACAACGAAGAAGAAGAACTAAAACTGTATATTGGCAGTCTTATTCTATAGCATTCTTGAGCTTTGGCACGTCTCAACAATGGTCAAAGGATATGGACATTGCCTGCAAGTCGGTGTTCCGCACGGAACGTCTGGCTGCTTGCATGTGGAGTTTCCTTGAGACGAAACTAGCCGAGAAGGCACTGGATATCGACAACGTGGAATGCATCGAGTCTATGGAGCTTGAATAATGATTCTTCTTGCCAGTACAAACCGTTTGTTTTTTCTGCACTTTTGGTAGACAACACACCAGTTTTATTAGTCGGGAATCAAAGGTCATTTAGGAAAGGTTCTGGAGGAGCATGGAAATGGTAACATACAGCGTTTATCGTGGGATTGTTACTGATTAACGCTGCTTTAGAAATCCTTGCTCGATACGCTGAGATCCCCTTGTCGTGATTGGCTCGAACCTTGGCGAACCTTGGTGTGAACCTTTCAAGTATATGGTACGGTATGTATTGGTTTTGAGATTAAACTACCACTGATGGTAAAGGTATATCCCCCAAAATGCTAGATGGACGAGAGGAGTTTCTAAAGCCACAACAAGCATCACGTATTTGACTTGGCGAGCTCTCTCAGACCAGGAAGAAAGTACTAAGGCTACCGCGAATAACAATTGTCCTACCAACCACACACCTGCAGATATACCCAATGAGTTCAATGCCAATCCTGAATGCCAGAGGCTCAGCAGGGAGAAGACCAGACTTCCCGCGAGGAGTACGATGGAAGATACCAGTGCGTTGTCAATTCTAGTGGGATGGCCCATTTTCGTTTGTATACTGTGACACGGGCCAATTGCTAAAATTACAGATGTACTGATTCTAGGTGCAGTGGTCAGCACGTTAATAATCCCTACTATAGAAAAGACGGCGATGACAAAGTTTGTACTGTTTAGAGACGGAAAGCCTGCCGAAAAGGCATATGTAGAAGACAGAAGGGCCTGCACACCGCCGATTATGGTCGTAAAACCGTTACTGCTTCCATAAGCTGTCACATTAACGTTACTGTTCTTGAGTTCTCTGAGACAGGCATACGTGGGCCGTTGGATCTTATAAACAGTCGTTTGCTCACTGTACACTGTCGGGATACAACTGGCATTTAATCTGTTATCTCTTAGCCAATCCGACAAGAGCATAGTGCCCTATGGGACAAAATCTATTTTTCGTCATTTTGCGTAAAGTGAAAGAACGAAGACACTCACATGGTTTCCCGTTTTACTGTCTTCATGCCTTAGAGAAGCACCGTTGTCGTTTCTTTGGAAGTGATACGAATCCTATCACATTAAAGGCGACGAAAATCAGGACCAACAATAGCATTGAAAATGAGGATCCTACCTTAGTCTCGTTGTCAATGGCTAGCAACACGATACACTTATCGTTAGCGGCACAAGCAAATAGCCACTTTTCCATCCAACTACCGTGATCCTCATTCATTAAGTTGGAAAAGTATTCAATGATAATCATCAGATCCAATAATCCGTCTAGGCAAGAAAATAGAGGACAGGCCAAAGCACCCAAGTATTTCAAGACCATACTCCTCCTGGTACTGCAAGACAAAGTTCGAACCTACATATTGCATGTCATCAGAACGGGTTCTGCCACAACATCATCTTAACTTACAGTCAAAATATGTGTCATTAGTAGTAAAATAGGATTCTGGAGAACATTTATGACTGCCCCAATGGTAGTATAATTTGCTAAAGCCCAGATTCCAAACCCTATACCACCAGCAATGAGCAAGCAAATAATAATCAAAACTGCTAGCACGGCACGCCAGTGCCGATCTGTTTCATTTGAGATAAGTTTGAGAAGTTCTGCTCCACGTCCTCGACGTGATAGTAGAGTTTTTTGCGGCAGTTCTAGCTCGATATTAGTTGTTGGAAAATTTACCGGTGCTGGTGGTTGCAGTTCTGTTATTTCACGAGGTGGGTTGCTTGTTGAAGCTTGCATAATAGCGTCAGGCAACCTATAATTCATATCAGTTCCATGCACTCCAGGAGTTCCAGCAGGTCCACGAGGTCCCGGAGGGCCAGCAGGTCCAGCAGGTCCAGGAGGTCCCGGAGGTCCTGAAAGTCCCACAGGTCCCGCATCTCCTCGAGATCCTATAGGTCCCACAGGTCCTGGAATTCCTTGCAACCGATCGTTGAGGGAAGACCCCGCATAGTATTGTGGTCGCCTAGGCAATCGATGAGCCTACTAGCGCGTTCAAACAGAAGCGGGATGAGCACACTTACGTACTAGAAATTCGGTTGTCAATAATTTCTATCAGTTGCGACATGTCCATTGAGGAAAAATCTTCTTCGTTTTGTGGAGTTCCAACGTGGAAGGGTGGTTGACCGTGTGGGATTCTGACGACGTGGTAGAGAACTTAATGGTTTACTATGAAGCGTCCTGCTCGAACATAGAAAACTTCCAAATGGGCCGGTCGTCGAGTATGGATGGGTTGTAACAGCATCACGAATTCAGAAGTGGGGAAAGGACTGGATCTTGACCGATTAATACAATGTGGCTTGAGAATGCAGATTAGAGGTCAGTTATCATCGGAACAACACATCCAGGCCAAGGTTTGGAATTGACTACGAATGTGGCTTCTAGGTCGCAGCATCAAAACCCTACATCAATGCATCAGGAATCACAATATCACGTTATGCTGCTGCTACTGATCCGCCACAGCCAAAGTGCATGGCATCAGCCGGGCTACGATTTCGTTGCTGGAGATGACGATTTCGATGCTCTAACACAGAATGCATCAACGATTGTTGAGTTGCTTGATATTAAACGCATTTATTTTCTTCGCCTTATTATCAAGCGGATATGCCAACTGATGTGTATCAAGGATTGGACTGGTATCGTTATGATCCTTGCTAGATTTTCATGCGATACCGACGATTAGCGCCAAATCTCAAGATGACTATGTTTACGACGAAAAATCTACTGTTTATGTATGTGGCATCCTGTGGCTATGGCTATGGCTGCTACCCGAAGTGGACGTGGAAGCAATGATTTCGCAGTTGTTGTCTTGACATGACATGGCCACTATCACAACTGGTGTTTATTGCGTCTAACTTGAAGAATAGTATGCCACTAAAAGTCATTGACGATATTCTGTCAATCTCACCTTTGTTTTCTACAAGTTGTCATATACCCACATTTACTGGATCAACTCGTGGTTGGACTACTATGTAGAAAATTTGATTTCGAACACGTGCTTTAATGATGAAAGGACCTTGATTTGGTTGACTTTTGATTTGGGTAGACTACTTTTTTGGGCAATGTGATGTCCAATCCGAACTTTAATGATGATTGGAAATGATTTCGAGCTTGGATCGTTGGGACGTGGAGTTACAAACAGGACGCTCTCGAATGTCTTTGAATTCGTGGCATCGAAAACAAACTATACTAATGTGAACGTGACGAGTCAACCTGATTTGACTTCCAGGTGGCTTCAATTCAAGCACTGAATACCTGTTTCGAGCCCAAGCATGTCTGCTATTGGAGCTGGTGGAGGTCCTGTATATATGGATCCATCGTAAGTGGTTGTATAGAAGAGCTTAAAGCATTTGAATCTCACAGTGGGTTTGTTTTTGCTCCATAGTGTAAATTTGTCTGCACCGGTTCCTCAGCTGATAGACACATCATCTGCTACTCCAACGCCGTCAGCCACAGTATCAATTTACACGAAAACAATTGGGATTGCTGGGGACTTTACTGTCGCGTCACCAATCGCGGTTCTTGGATCGAATTTGTGGGGATTCTTGGCGTTCTCCCTGTCCAAAAGTCTGAAGTCATGTATAGAACGAAAATCTGATTCCTCTGATACAATAAATTAAAGTCCCCTTTGGCACGTTATTTCGTCTTGACTACTTCTGCTGACATTTTGTCTCACATTCAAATCCAAACGCGACGATGGCAGCTCTGATCAACTTGACGAGTAATTACCTGTCAGAGCATCCACAACTGGCTGAATATGGTCATATATTGCTTGAACGTGCTGTAAATGTCCGTGAAATCCTAGAGAAAAGTGGAGCAGACAGTTTGTTGATTCTGGTTTGTGTTGGATTTGTTGCAGGTAGCGTCAAGAGATCGAATCATGGAATTTTATTGTATATTACACTTTCATAACGTGCTTCTAACGATTATTCTTGTAGGATACGTGGCTATTGTTATTTACAAGGCAGCATTCCAACGGTTAGAGTATATTGCACCGCTGCCTAAAGGCCATCGATACAAAAAGTATGACCCACAGGTCATGCCGCCACCGTATCCCAATACTTGGTGAGAACATGACGCCGTTTGGTGCTTGTTTCGTAAAAGCTACAATGGTCGCAGTTGCTGCCCTTCCAAATCGCCCTTACACCTTTCATCCTTGGTTCAGGTATAGAATTCTCGGCTCATGGGAGCTACCCAAGAACGAAATCAAAGAATGCCGTCTCGTTGGCAAAACCCTCGTCGCATACCGCGGGGACGACGACCAAGTTCGTATACTAGACGCCTATTGTCCACACCTGGGTGCATCACTCACCGACGGCACAATCGTAAACGGAAACTGTTTACGATGTCCCTTCCATGGCTGGACATTCGATGGGCTGGGAAACGTCAAGGATGTGCCATATTCGGATACAAAGCAGCCTGCGTTTGTCAAGGCTCGTAGTTATCCTGTTTTAGAAGCTAATGATATGATTTATGTGTGGATGGACGCTGATTCGAGCGTGACACCTGATACTATGGAGGAGAGGATTAGCTGGAAGCCGAGGATTGTTGATGGGTTGAAGAGAGGTGGTGGGATTGGGGCGTGGAGGAGGCATGGAAGGTTTGTGCTGATTGTTGGCAAATACAGATTCGTGGTTTAAATGGTATCTGACGCTATTCACTGGCTTTTTAAGGACTGATCACTGGGTGAATGCTCATATAATGGAGGTAATATTCCTGTTGAAGAACGAAGAATCGCCCATTGGCAAGGACCCAATTCTCATTTCTCTCTAGCTTCCCGAGAACGGCGCGGATTCGGCACACTTTTATTGGGTTCACCACAAATCCGTCATACCCGTAAGTGTCGTTTTCGAGTACCTTCCTCATTCGAATGGCAAACTCAATGCCCACTGCTCTTCTAGTACGTTCAACCGTTTCTCGAACATACCTGGCGTCCCAAATACAAGGTCAACGAAACACAACCACATCGAGCTGACATGCAAGTAATCCACAATTTCTTGCTTTTTGGATTCTTGTATCTCCCAGCACAATACACGGACGTGACCCAGCATGGACCGGCACTTGCTGAGATATGTGTACGTGTACTTTCCCATATTCACTGAAATGTGTCTTCACTAAAATACCCGCAATCGTAGATTCACACTCCATTCGGTGATGTCGCGATATTTGAATGTGTGCAGCCAATCGCACCACTAGTCATGAAGGTGACACATCAAGTACATGCTGGACCATTCGTGCCTAGGATATTGGCAAAGGCCATGTTTTGGGTTATGATAAAGCAGTATGAGACGGATGCTGCTATATTCAATAAGAAAGTCTTTATACCCAATCCGCCGATTATGAAGGAGGAGAAGACTATTGGTGAATTCAGGTATGGTTGGTTATCGGTGTGGTTAAGAACAGTTGCTGCATACACCAATTGCGAGTTTGAAAGTTGGATTCTGATATGTTCATTGTAGGAGGTGGTTTAAACAGTTCTATTCACCAAAGTCAATGACATTTACTGAGGTAGACGACTCATTTCGCACTTTGCATCAGCTCTACGCTAACGATCTTTTCATATAGGCCGTCGAATTGGAAAACATTGAAGCATCATCTTCGCGAGAGTGGTAACCACATCCCCGTTAGCAACTGAGACCTGAAACGTGTTGATTTATAATTCTTTTAATATCTGACAAATGCAATAAATACCGTTGAAATCGTCATTTCATGTGATGTGTGATGTTGTTCTCAGTTCGCACAGCCTCAAACAACCAAAGCTTTCGTTTGCCTGACTACCAAACACTTGGCATTTCAAATTAAGATACATTACAAAAACGATCTTCAGCCGCACCAATATTTATATCCAGTTCAGAATCCTACATATGTTTCCTCCAACCATACGAATCGTAACAGCAGACATTGTACGCAACTCGAAAATGGTGGAGCAAACACAAACAATGAGGTCCAATGTGCCTAGTATAGAATTCGATTTGGTATCGAATGATCGCTGTGGTAAGTCTTTGCCTCTATTTCGACGGCTTGAAAGTATCGTTAACGAAGTGGGACCCGTTTCTTAGAGCTCCCGCCAAGCTCACCGTCTACTCCATCGAGCCCTTTGTCGGAGAGTAAGGCTACGCTATTGCAAATAAGCAGCAAGCAATCGACGTCTCTGTCTTCGTCGTCTTCATCAGGTTTCCTCTCTGTCTCGGCCTTCCGTTAAATCCAAGTTCTCAACCCTGTCAACCGTTTCTTGCCTTGCTGATTTAAGTTTGTATATTAAATTATCTGCAAACTGCTGAAACATGTACACATCCTCTGCTCTTGTATAATACAGCACATCGTCGTCAAAACATCGTTGCATGTCCAGCGGTTTCGAAAATTAAGCCCCATAGCAACTCACATAAAAGCAAAGCTTTTTATATAGCTCAACCCCATAGCAGGATCAATGCAAACCATTCCCTTTCTCATGTACTCCTCTTGGTCTGAAAGAATTTGAAAATGGAATCCATGGCAACGGGAGTCGTATACCCATGGTCGGTTGTCCCTGCGGATTGACATGGTCCTACTCCTCCACGGTTTATGGGTGTATCAAGCGGCTTTTGAGATGTTACCCAGTTGATTGTTTTCTATTGAAGAGTACGTGAGCTTGAGCATGAGGAGTTACTTAAGGGGAAAGAAGGACAAACCGTTCTCATGTATTCTTGAACTCTGGGACTCATAGATGAAGCTGAATTACTATGTACTGAATCAGTGAATGCTATTGCTGTGACACGATCTGATACGTCACCTATGCCAAGAAGGGTCGTCAGACCAATCGGTACATGCCTGAATATAAGCGTTTTCCACAACTTACTTTTGGATTGCAGCAGACTCAACGTACAATGTCCTCCATATGAATGAGAAACGAAAAAAATATTGGGTGCTGTCGATTTCGAAATAAAGTGCTCCCAGACATATTTAACATGAGCTGTAGGTGTTTCACTTCCTCGAATCTCGACCTCGTTTTCATCTTCGTTTTCGTTGTTGTTTAGTACCATTACTTCGTATCCGTCAGCCTTGGCTCTCCGAAGATAGTTGAAGATGCTGCCGTTGTTGATGTTGTCGTTCATTACGATTTTTCTATAATGTAAAGAAGCATGTGAGACAGTCTTTGCATGATACGCAGACCTTGTTTATGCCTTTTGTTTTGAGTATCCTTCTAATAGCGAAGCAATGTAATCAGAGAAACTACACATACCTCGCCCATTGTCCACAACGTATGTTGCTACCAGGTATCAGAACAAGCAAGGGCTTCGTTGTTGTGATGATAGCCTCCGCTAATATAAAGCGTTTTCACATCCACCTTTCATTCCGTGAATGTGGGAGGTTTGATACTCGACGTGTGTTGGGCTCCTACCTGTCATGAAGATCTTACTCGTAGGCTCGCCATCAACACCATCAATAGGGAGAGGCAGAGAGACTCGTTGCAGTTCAAATTCCGATACTAGCTTCTCTTGAATGTATCTTGCAATCGCATCTAACGATCGAGTTGATGTGAGTTTGATGTTTGATCCCACACATGAATTGGGGGTTGACTAAAGCTATAGTCGATGTTACTACCTCCTATAGCTTCATATCTCGCTTGATTCAGTGCAAACTTCTCCAGTACATCGAACTCGAACGGTTGACCTGTTAAGTTTAAAAATTAGCAAGGCTGAAAGCTCAAGGTACGGTTCGAATAAGAGAGTGTGTTCTCAGTGTGTTCTCACCTGTATTGATGCCGCGCAGCTCTCCATCATCATTAAAATGGTATCCGAATTCTTCTAATGTCTGTTCTGTCACCATTTTTGTCGAGTCGTCTCTTGTCATAAGCTGCTGGTGACGTTTTCAGACCACGGAGATCAAGGCTTGAAAGAGCCCAATTTGCATATTTGTACGTGTTTTGAAGCTAAAGGTTGGTATTAGAGCCCTGGATCTTTGCTCTTGCAACAATTCAATTAGCTGCGCTGGGTGATCAACAAATCAACACGGACCAGATATCAGTTACTCGTACATGTGGAAGCCACAAGTCATTTCGAGTACTACAAGATTGGACATTCAACAATCTAAATGCTTCCTGGAAGGGTCATGGTCTCGTCGAAGGCTCGGAAAGCGGAGTTTGAATGCTGCAGCTAGCACTCCAGCAACAAGCTACACGAAGGGAAACTCTGGCTTTTTCAGACTGTAAGATTCAGGCCTCAAACCTATTCATCTCATTCTGAAGATTGTGTACTAGCTCGTCAATCAGTAGAAAATCTTTCAACTTTTGAAGAACGTGGACGCAAAGACGAAATTTTGATTCACACCATCCACCACCGTGAGAATCAGACTGCATAATGGAATTCTCTACCTTCGAAAACATTAGAAGTAGGCGGAACGTAGGGTCATGGACTCTGCTAGCATTAATCTTTGGTTTGATCCACACATCGAATGGCCTGGTCGTCGAATCATCGACAATAGCATCAGGAACCGCGACCTCACGGACAACTACTTCATCATCGAGTACAACGTCACGTAGCAGTACGTCGTCAACCACCACAACCACATCGACCACAACTAGCGTAGCAACCACCACAATTGCAACCACCTCAATACATCCAGCCAGTCCAACAATATGGATATCTAGTGTATCTACAACAATTCCTACAATATCACTTGATAATTTAATAGGCTCACCTATGACCACGCTACCAGCATCCCCCATAGAATCCCCAATAATAGCATCAATAATTGCAGCAGATGCAAGCCCAGACTCTGGATATACACCCATCATTGTCGTCCCCCCAACATCCGCACCAACGAATCAAGTAGACCCATCTCCAGACTCTGGACCCGCATACACGCCCACTTCAAACTACGGAGTCACGCCAACTGACATTGCAGCATCACCGGACTCTGGATCTGTGTATACTCCACCTGTAGATTCCGGTGTCACGCCGACTGATATTGGAAGCTTGCCCGACTCGGGAGTCACTACGCCAACGGACGCAGCGGTCGGAAACGCAATTGTGAATGATGCAACGCCTACGAATACAGCAGCACCTGAATTTACCGATATCGCATCGGTAACCACGTATAGAGCAACGTCAACCCTGAGTGACGTATCAGCAACAGCAACCCTGTTACTGCTACCAACAACAATCGAATCCAGTCCACATGCAGCTCCATCTGTAATATCAGCATCGTCGACATCAGGGGTAGCACTCATAAACTCTAGTAATAGCTGGATTGTGGCAATCATTGTGATATTCGTTATATTGATCATCTTGGCATTCGTGTGGGTCTTGCTCGGAGAATCGATACGGAGATGCTTGAGATCGTATAGACGAGTTCCGAGGACGGAACAGGATTATTATGCACAGCCGATGCAGTATAATAACTTTAGGAGGTAGATTGAGTGAGTGATATCTTGCGGGTGTAGTAATAATATATAATTATTTAGAGACTTCATATAAACTTAATGTACACATCCAATCTAGGCGTGCCGCGGCTTTTTTTTGCCGACGAACTTCAAAGATTGTGCATATAATCAGGTCTTATTACACTCCACAAAACACACGTACAGTTACAAGCAAAGCCTACAAAACACGCACTAAACTCACAAACATCTCACTCCTCCTTTGCACTAATGCTAACCTTCAACTCCTTCCCAGGCGATACAGGCTTGGTAACTATACCCTGCAGCTTCCTGAACTCGACTTCAATCAAATCAGCAAACGCCTGTGCACCACCAGCACCATATGCCGAACGAGGAGACTGCTCGTCGAGCTTCATTTGTACAGTAGCAGTCATGGATCCGTTATACGATGTAAGTGCACATCCGAAACTATTTGTGGAGGGGAGACAGACTATAGGGTACATGTTCATGATAGACTTGCCGGCCCATGAGAGGGGTTTGGAGGGACCTGGGACGTTTGTTATCTAGAGGTATGCAAGAGGTTAGGGCAAGAAGTACAGTCATGTAGTGTATGTACTATCGTATTCTGTCCTTTTTTTGGAACCAAACTACAGCCAAAGAGACTTACCACTCCATGAATGACATCCACTTGACTGAAAGCCGCCTTTGGAACCATCCATGGAAAATAGAAGGCCACTTGCAAAAACCAATACGAGAGATATTGCTCGGGTGATTTCTTGGCAATGTTCATTGTTTGGCGAGTTGCGTGGACCTTTGTAAAGGGCAAAACAACTGATCAGCCCAATGCCGTTACAACCAATGACTAACACTTCACACACCAAAGCAATCAAATGACTGCAAGGATACTTACCCGACGAACAGTCTCATCTCCCATCACTGGCACACGAATCAAGTATGCAGAGCTCTCATTCGAGACATGCAAGTCATCTTTCTTTCTTAGAGACGTAGGTGCCATGAATGTGAAATGAGTGTCGACCAAATCGTCGCATCTGTTTGATAGAGAAAGGTGGTTGGTCCTATGTTGGATGTATGTTGGTCATTTTTTTCGCCATACATACCCAGCCAAGTACTGCTCGAAAGCAGCAGATGTGCAAGCCACCATAACATCGTTCACGGTGCATTGCAAAATGTCTTTTACATCCTTGATTTCTTCGAGCGGGATACCAGTTGAGACGCCAAGCTAACAAAACGGTTTCAACGGGGAGGATTTTCAACAAACAACGAGTGAAATGACAATCACAATCACATACCTGAGATTCCATTAACGCCCGTTTAGACTTCCGAAGGTAACCTGTCCGTTTGTTTAGCAACAGTTGAGCACTCCTGCTCCCGTATAGGAACAAAGCATATACGAATGCTAGCACTGCCAACAGCGTGGCCCAAGCATGTTCAATGGGTGTCGTAAGAGATTCACCCAGGGTTTCCTTGTGGGCCTTCTTTGCATATTTTCCAGCAGAGTATTGAAGTTGGGACATTCGGCGGCTCCGAAGGATTGGGTCTACCGAAGTCAGGAATGTAATTAAGGCTCTCATGGATCCCTAAGACGAGATGTAAGAGTGATTTAGATTAGAGAAATGACTCGGAGATCGTGCATGGTCGTAGTTCACAGTCGTCTTTTTTTTACCTGCCCGTCAGTTACGCAATGGTCTACACAAAGGTCAACAGCAAGTAATTAATATTCGTAATCTGTATCTGAATATAAAGAAAGCTAGCTTACGTGTTCGAATAAGCATTGCCGAAAAGTGTGGATTTCCAGTTTTGAAGTACGTAACATGCCACAAGGGATTATTCATATCAAATGGCTGGCTAACGATATGTGCAGCAGCATCTTGTATATCCCGTAGCGTTCCATTCGGAATATGTTTGACGACCAAATGGTTTGCAATATCAAACCGCTCGCCAATATCAACCCAGTATGGACGAGATATGGGGCTCTTTCCACGTACACAGACCGATGTATAGCGTTCAGTCTGGAATGCGAAATCAGTTAACTGCTTTCTCAAGACCTCTTCATCGAGCTCTTGATGAAACTCGTAGATTCCTAAGATGTTTTGACAGAGGTTACGCAGTCAGCACGTGTGAGGAAAAAGTTTAAGAAGGAGAGCTTTGTAGAAGTCAAGATGCAATTTCAAGCATTCCAAACAAGAAAACTTCGAGAATTATTGCATACCTGCTATAGTCATCAAAGTTTCGGGATCTGCGTTTTCGATTGCCAAGAAGGACGCATCGATGCCAGTCAGATAGCCAGCAAACTTGCCGTGGTTCTCGATCCTCTTATGTGCCATGATATAGACACAGTAATCTTGTTATTGAGAGCAGTGATGTAAGTTGGGGTGCGATTGTTGCGAGTGAAATTCCGAGTACGAGAAAATCTTCAAAAACGATCAATTTTGAGTGCCGGTTGAAATTGACTTGAAATTAAGAGAAGACGTCACGTTTCACGTATTTTGATCTTGGAACGACATCTTCTTTACGTGCTTCTTACGCAAATCAAATGGGTCAAAGGGCCAGAAAATCTTGGAAATATTTATGTCCCAGCTCCAAACTCACATCAAAAGAGATCGACCAAAAGTTATCAGGACGTGTCTGATATTACTCCAAAAGGGATTTCAGCTGTTGCGTGCTCGTTTTTTTGACCATGAGATTTTTTGACGTCGTTAGAGACTCGGCGTTAACTTTTCGGGAAACTCCAAGACCAAAGTCTGGAGACAAAGCTAATACCCAGCGCAACAAGTTTACGCGAGATAAAGCTGAGGTTTGTTGTATTCCAGCTGAAATTGTATTTTAACAAAGTTGAGGACACAAGTATTGAAATGTGAAAGTGTTTACCACAAGGATTGGAAGCAAACCAACGAAATTGTAAATTAAAATCGTGCATTTGTATTAAGGAAACGAGAAGTGTGCTAGTAAAACTTCGTTATGAAAAGTTGAAAGCATCAAACAACAAAATCAAGCAAACAAGCCAATGATGGTTTTATCCAGCAGCAAGACACATTCTTCAGTACCACTCAGGATGCACCCGGGTAAAGAAGCTGGGTTCTCCCAAAAGATGAATCGTTTGGAAGATGCCTCACATCGTGCTACACTGACAGGACGCACCCCGTGTTTTCTTACAGCAAAGCGAAGCGCATTCAGACCTTTACCGAGCAACGATGGATTGGTTTCAATCTAATTCTCCCTTGTCTTTGGGGATCGTGATCCAACCTTGTAACTTGCACAAGGAAAGCTGCCATTCCAGGTACGAAAGCGAAGAGACACCGATGTGCTGAGCAGATACGTAATAAGATGCTGATGCTGTATATTACAAAGTTTGGTTGGTGTGATTGTGTATTGGCGAGAAAATCATTGTTCAACCAAATGTCATACTGGTTGCCGAGATTTAGAGTAGGAAAGGCTTGGAGCAAGAAGTAGCTGTAGCTCCTATGATATGACAATATTGAGTTGAGTCATATCCGAATAGCTGGAACGTCTTCAATGTGTGCGTGCAGCGTTTTGAGCAAAAGATACATGTCAACAGTCCTTTGTGTTGTTGGTTTGCTGAGAGCGTGTATATGCAAGTGTAGCAGGGAAGAGCAAGTAGGATTGCTGCATGTATCAAATCTTACATTCCTACGCGCAATGAACAAGTCCTGGTATATTGCGAGGAAGCTCGAATTCGTTGTCGTTCATACAGCGTTTACATTTGTTGAGCGATGCAACAACGGAAGCGCTCCCCGCTACAATCCAATGCAAAGTTGGAAACGTAAGAACGGTTCTCACCTCGCTATTCACTTGGTGGTCTGGATTGGCTTCCTTCGGTTGCTTCCAGAATTTGATTTAAAAAACACGTCCAAAATCGACTTTGATAAGTGTAATCACATCCATAATATACAAAACTTATCATTTAGGTCCTTCTCCCTTCACCTGTTTCCAAATTGAATTCCTTATTGCTCACCCTCTTTCATCTTTGACAAGCAACAATCCAATATACAGAAATGATGGTCGCTCCCGAGAAAAAGGACAAGCTCATTATCTTTGATACCTCCCTCAGAGACGGAGAACAGGTAACCTATCCCCATTTGCTTCTTTCATCTGTCATGGATAAAAGCATTTTGCTGCTGACTGAAACTATGATCGATTCGAGCTGCTGTGCGAGTGCATCTTGAGATCTATATGCTAATCAGCATCTTCTCATGGGCCATAGTCTCCAGGAGTCACTCTCTCTGCTGGTGAAAAGGTCGAGATTGCACGAGCATTGTCAAGATTGGGTGTAGACGTTTGTGAAGCTGGTTTCCCTATCGCTTCTCAAGGCGACTTTGATGCCGTACAGCGCATTGCCAGAGAAGTCGGCCCTCTCACCGTAGGACGCAAATCTGGCCGTCCAATGGTATGCTGGACCATCTTTGTCGAAAAAAAACCTCTTGTGTTTCACCAACTGATTTCAAACAACATTATAGGTGATTGCTGGATTAGCTCGTGCAGTACCAGCCGACATCCAAAGAGCATACGATGCTGTAAAAGATGCTCCTCTACATCGAGTACATACCTTCTTGGCCACATCAGACATCCACCTTGAGCACAAGCTCCGCATAAACCGTGATGAATGTGTCCAACGGGCTGTAGCTGCTGTCGCATTCGCAAAGTCTTTGGGATGCACGGATATCGAATTCTCGCCTGAAGATGCCGGCCGATCAGACAGGACCTTCTTGTGTAAGGTATTGGGTGAAGTCATTCTTGCTGGAGCAACTACTTTGAATATCCCAGACACTGTTGGATATAATACTCCTGAAGAATATGGATCCATGATGAAGCATTTGATTGAAAACACTCCTGGTGGAAAGAATGTAAGGGTCTTGTTGCTCATAGATGTGTAAAGACAGACTTCTGACTTCCTTTCCACATCATTGGCAGGTAACTTGGTCAACTCACTGTCACGATGACCTCGGTTTGGCTACTGCAAACACCTTGTCTGGTATACAAAATGGCGCCCGACAGGTCGAAGTCACTATGAACGGTATTGGTGAACGTGCTGGTAAGTGCATTATGGACTGCAATCCTTTATTCGCTGGATGCCATAATCCTAAACATAATCGCTCATATCATAGGAAACACTGCATTGGAAGAAATAGTGATGGCCATATATTGTAAACCCCTCTTCTTCCCAGTAACATCCGATATCGATACCACCATGATCTACTCAACATCCCAATTGGTTACCAAACGATCTGGTATGGTAATTCAGCCCAACAAGGCCATTGTGGGTGCTAATGCATTCGCACACGAGTCGGGCATTCACCAAGATGGTATGCTCAAGAACCGATCTACCTATGAAATCATGGAACCCGCCATTTTGGGCATTCCTTCAAACCATTTGGTATTGGGTAAACACTCTGGTCGTGCTGCATTCAAAGTCAGGATTGAGCAAGTACTTGGACAAGCTGTGTATGCTGACAAGTTCAAGGTGAGCATTCGATGAGTCGATTTTTTTGCGATGATCTTGACTTTCAGCCCTCCTCAACCGTTCCTAACTCGTATTCATCATTTGTAGGATGCTGCAGTTATGGACGAGCTATTCGCTCGCTTCAAGAAGCTGGCAGACACCAAAAAGCGTGGTGTCACCGACCAAGACTTGTATGCGTTGTTGGATGACATGTCAATGTCCAGCATCAACCGTGAAACATACAAGATCAAATCCGCCCAAGTCGTATCAGGATCAGGTGTATTAGCCACAGCCACCGTTGCCATCTTGGATTACTCCAACAATGCCACCACACCCGTCGAACGTATGGACGCTGCCATGGGTCACGGACCAGTCCATGCCATCTTTAGGTGCATCAACCGTCTAACTGGCCATAACAATGTCTTGGCTTCATATGAAGTCAAGGCTGTAACAGAGGGCTCAGACTCCTTGGGTAAAGTCCTCGTCAGGATTCAAGAAGGTGTCTCGGAATCAACTGATGATAAACCACGCATTCATAACGATGAAGGCCAAGATGGATCGTTTGCTTCTGACCATGCTTCGAGATTTGAAACTAGCTTCCAGGGTCAAGGAACTGATGAAGATATCTTGATTGCTAGTGCTAAAGCATATGTAATGGCTATAAACAAACTCGTTGATTTCAAGGCTCGTAAAGCGCAAGAACCTGCTTCTGCTGAAGTTGGCAAGAAGAGGAAGGTGGATGTTGTTGGTGGACAGGTGGAAGCTATTCCAAAGTCTCGTAAAGTTGATGTTTAAGGGAGGGTGTTTGTTGTGTGTGTAGTATCAAAACGGTATTGTTTGATTTGACTGAAAATATAAAAGAGTAATTTTTCGAAAGAGTGGTTGTCATCTGTATGGTTTGGTTTACTTAATGGGATGAAGGGACACTATTGTTGCTTTCACATCGTTGCAATGAGACGCTGTAGATTCTCTGACAATGCTCTCGTATCCCGACGCAAAAGCCTACTTTTCTTGAGCCAAAAAAATCCCATCCAGACGTAAAACACCAAACGTCCACTAGAACACACACAGCATCATTGTGGCAACACATGCCATAAGTATTGTAGCTGGTATGACGCCAGACACAATCGTAAATGTGTACGTTGATACACAGCGAACTGTTTGCCATCGCATCTTTGACAAAACCATTGTTATCCGAATTGAAGAAACTACTTTCTCTTCAAGCCAAAAAAGCACCCAAGTCATATACAAAAAAGTCTTAACTACAACACACACAGCATTATTATAGCAACACACGCCATAAACATTGTAGATGGTATGACTCGAGCGACACTTGATGCAGCGGTATAGCCAGAAGTGGATGCTACAGCTACAGCTGTAGGGTCGGCCGATGAAGGAACGTATAACCCACCATTCACGTTTGCGGCAGTTTCGTTTGAAAGCCTAGCTGGTGGGCCTGTTGGCACAGGATCATTGACACACTATGTGAATAAGTGAGGTTGAGAAAATGCGGTCTGATGGTTCGCATCGGCGGCACAGAACTCCAAAGTTACCTGAATCTTGACATAGTTAAACGTAGCAAAGAACCCAACATCACTTCCTGGTGATGATGTCCAAGGAGCGTAGCCACCAGCCCAGCTTCTCGTGCCAGCTAACAAAGAATCTTGGTTACAAAAAAAAGCGTTAAAGTAAATGTATTGTATAAACATTACCAGCCTGCGATCCACCATCCCATATCCCAATCTGTATCCTCATCGGATCGGTTGGGTACTGATATGCCTGCAATGCGGTATTGTATGTCGTGTTTTGGTAGAGCGTGCGGACCGCTATGCCATCGATAAGCCAGATGAGTCGTTGGGCATTCCAGTCTATGCCGTAAATGTGTGTTGTGGTGCCTGTTACTGTTCCTGTCTAGTAACGGAAGGTGGTATGAGTGAGCGACAAAGGACAGACGGAGAGGAGAACTCGATGGATTGAAGTATACCTCATAGTATACTGACTTAGTGTAATCGATAAAACCCTTCCAGAAAAAGTTTGTCTGTGCGGCTGTTGGGTCTGCGCCAGTCCATTCCTGTTTGAAATGAGAAGTATTCGTTTCAGTACTCTGTTGTCTAGGAAACGTTGGGTGGTTTCGCGTCTTTTCAAAGTTTCTGAAAGTCAATGCGTACCCTACAAACGTAGCGATGGTCAGTCAAAAGCATTCTGATCTTGCCGGCACATACAACGAAAAAACCAGGGTGTTTACCAATCGATTTCATCCTGTGAATCACTCATTCCAACAAAGGCGGTGACTCTGTAAACGACAAAATCAGTATCAGTGTACCACCTCCACCTTTCAAAAACTTGCGCTCATTCAAGATACATACACTCCCGCAGTATTCGACGTCTGCACCTTAGCCTCATACTTCCCAAAATTCAGATACGCTGTTGAAGACAACAGCACATTGATTCCGTAGTAATTGCCATCTGAGCCAACATAAGGCGATCTCTTCAAATTCAATCTTATGCCACCGCCATTCGGTACAGCTGATATCTGAGACGGGTTGTTGGAGTCTAGTGTGAAGTCTGCCGAGTCTATGTGATAAACATGTGGTGAGATGTCGGCAAAAGATAGCGTGACGGGGTTTGAAGCGCACTTGGATCTCCAGAATATGATTGTCGTGATGCAATCCATGTGTTGCTGTCAAACTATGTGCAAAGTTCTTAGTGAGGATCTATCAAATGATCATGACCTTCAAATTTCAAACACTCACGACATAATATCCAGATGTGCATCTATGCGACTCTGGACGTGATATATAGCATCCTGCGGTACCAGCAGAAAACGTTGCTTGACAGCCGAGCCCACCTTTAGAAATTCAGCAGTTTGATATTAGATCTAACATTCAGAAGGGAAAGGACGGCTGCAATAGCTTCAAGTACATCAAAACTATCCAGATAGGGCTTACAGTGTAAAGCTGTGTTTCCACATACATTTGAGGAACTGTATGTGTGGTTTGGGAGAATGTTAGGCATGGATACCAATAGTGAAACTCACATAAGAGCCTTGGTTCATAAAGGAACACATCCGGACAAGAGGTGGGAGTATCCGGCATACCTGCAACAAGGTGTCGTTCCATTGCATACGTAGTTTGCGGCATACGATCCACAGTATTGTTGAGCAACCACGAGCGCAGGAGCGAACAAGGACAGCAAGACCAGAGAAGCCTTCATCGTCAACAGAACTGATTTTTGGAATCGACCAAAATCCTTGTCTTATCGGATGCTGCTGCTGCGTTCTTAAACGTTTTTGCAACGGAAATTAAAATCGCAGTTCACATCGCAACAAGGATTTGAATGATATCAGACCAAGGACTCAACGATGGCACTGTACGGCACTATTCAGACTTTGTTTCCCATTGAACACGAAAAAGCCCAATTCGAACGGCAACAAACAGCAAGTTCTATATCATCCTCACCACCTCAACTTGACAAAACACAACCAACAAACTCCACACAAAATATACTCTTAAAGACTATGATGTACTAGAGGTTAATAAGAGTCCTACAAGATACAGTTACGGCACACAACTAACTAGATTCCCCGACCACCACCAAAAATTATTATAAAGCCAAAAGCGCCAACGTCAACGCAATAAACGCAGTTGAGAAACCCATCACCAATCCACCATACAACTGTGGACTAGCTACTGATGTAGCCCCGCTGCTTCCACTACCTCCTACACTTCCGGATGTACCTGATCCGAATGTTGGTAACGATGATGGAGTTGGTACGGCTGTTGTTAAACCTTGTACGGCGTTGATGAGCACTGGAGCGGTCATGTTGGGTTTTGAGGTTATGTTTGCTGGACGGGTTGGGACGCCGGTTGGGTCTGCGTCGCCCAAGCACTACAAATATAGGTGGTGGATTAGTTGTGAAGTGAATATATGGCAAACTTGGTATCAAGATATCATGAAATCCAGGAGGTTGACTTTTCTCGGTCTTCACACTTCAAAATACTCACAGTGATTTTAACATATTCAACGGTAGCATAGACGCCGGTAGTGTTGTATGGAGCAGTGTCCCATGGAATGTATCCTCCAGCCCAGTCCCGTGTACCTGGCGCACCACCATTAACATCATTTCCACCATCCCAGACACCTAGCTGTATTCTCATAGGGGCAATTGGGTATTGGTAGGCCGAGAGTGTGGAGCTATACGTAGTGTTGTAGACAACGGTTCTGACAGCCACTCCGTCAATGAGCCAAATGAGTCTGTCCTTGTTCCAGTCAACGCCGTAAACGTGGCTTGTGGTGCCGGTTACTGTTTTGGTCTGGGATTGAATAAGTGTTAATCAAAGGGAGAAACAAGGAGACAAAACCTCAATGTAGTAATTACATCAACGTATGAGAATTTAGTTCTGTCAATGTAGCCCTCGTAAAAGTAGTTGGTCTGGGCCGTAGTCGGGAGAGCGCCGGTGAATTCCCAATCGATTTCGTCCTTAAAAATAAAGATTGTTACAAGTCTCATAATGTATGTCTTCGCTAGCTAAAAAAACAAACCTTGTCGTTTGCCATGCCGACGAATGCAGTAACACTAGATATGTAGAAACAAATCAATTGACGTCCTGGTACTAGAGCTGACAGGAGTGCTCCAAACTTACGCTCCACCAACATTCGTAGTCGTAATCTTGGCCTCGTATTTGCCGTACGAGAGATATGAGGTCGACTGCAACAGAGTGTTTAGACCATAGTATTTGCCGTTTGAAGCGGCGGGCTGCGTATCAGAACAGATTATTTAGTTGAGGGAGCGTGCAAAACTGCGCTTCTGTTCCAATGTCGAACGGCCATACCGTAGCAGATCTCTTCATATATATCTGCAAAGTCGATGATCCATTAGCCATGGGAACGACTTGATTATAGTAGGCCGAGTCGATAGTGAAATCGGCCGAGTTTGGATCCCCATTGTAGGCACCTCGGTTAGCAATCCAGGTGTTTGCATCGAAATTGTAGAGACCCGAGACACAACGGTTGTAGTTTATTCGGGATTCATAGCAGTTTTTGGTGCCGAAACTGTATTGAGGCTGGCAGCCGGTTGGAGATGTGACAGTGTTTGAAGGTATGGGGAGAGCGCAATGCAGCGCCGTTGTCCCGCAAAAGTTCGAAGCACTGCAGCATGGACTACATAGACGGTGTTGATTAATAATGTTCCAAACTGTTTCCCAAATACAAGTTCCTCGTTAATCTTCCTCTCTCGATGCCTCATCTCCTCGAAAACGGTCGAAACCACACAAACTGTTTCCCAAATGTTGCAAATACTCACGAATACCAGGGACACACTTGGGCGGTCTAGAACAGCGTTTTGATTATTAGAATACGATTCGGATGCATCGGTTCGAATGGTGTCTAACTTACCCCGTTTGCTAGTACTCCACAAGCGTTTTGGGCTGCAGTTTGATGTATTAAGAAAACAGCCAAGACGGCTATAGCTTTAATCGTCATCATTCAGGTTACAGTATGGTATCCTCCTCTCAACAACGAAATAAGTCAAATGGTATCTAGACGGGAAAGAAAACTTGCTGGTGTGGATGTGTGTGTGTCTTGCGGTCGAACAGAGAACAATAAGAAGGAAGATCTAGACAGTCGTGAGAGAGAAACACCCGGCGAATGCTAACCGCAAGGTAACTAAGGTAACGATTAATAGCTTGGCTCAAAGAGTTCATACGCAGCACTGCGAAGTATCAAGTCAAAGCCGGCTTCTTGGTCAACTTTTGGAAGATCGACGGTCGAAAACGATGCCAGGGCTTTCAAAAGCAACGAAACTTTCTCATATTGTTCTCCTACTTCCATTTCTTTGTACTAATCCAGAACAATACAAAACAATCGCAAAAAAAAGTGGATTCATATCGAATGTATACCTGTTCATTTAATCTATACTTGACCATCAAGAATCTATGATGACTGACCTCGTAAATGCATCTCAGATGATCCTGCATCAAATTCTACTTTCAACCAGGAACCTGCAACCTTGATATGAGACCCTGACAGTCTCCCCCTATAGATCCTTTCTTGATGGCCTCTTAAGACAACATGGCATCATAAGCTTTGACAGGTTCAACAACCAGCCAAACCATTTTAGACTGGAAGGCGATGTCCAATAAGGTCATTTCAGGTGTATATAGCAACTTCGGTTTCTACCAACAAGTTCAGATTGTCCTAATTGAGGAAAGATGGTGGCAAAAAAAACCAAGACAGTAGCAATCGCACTGGATATCATGGATCAAATTTACGCTCACCAAACCAAGCCATTGACGTAGAATCACTCAATGATTCATACAAATGGGGTGGATCCCAAGGTAATTTAGTTCCTATACTAGTATTTCTGCCACATTCCCAATGACTTGTACGCCACTCTCTATTTTCAGGACAATACAAGAGACCAACCTGCAAGAATACGGGTGGATGGTGAGGTCAAATTTACCACCACAAAAAAACCCGTTAAGCGGAACACTTCATGGCGCAATGTCCAACTTTTCTGTTTGTGCTTACTATGCAGCGCCTTCATAGTATGTGTACCACTGGTTGCTCCAAAAATACAACACCTTCATCGTAAGGTTCACACTAGACATATGGGCGTCTCCACTCTGGATCATGTTTTGTTAAATCCAGCTTTCGCTTCTCCAAGATTCCTGTATCAATGAATATGAAGGAAAGGAAGGTGTCAGACAAATCCAATGTTATCAGGTAACATAGTCTTCGTTTTTTGCAATGATTGAGGTCAGAAAGATAGAAACAAGGCTCAACACGGGTGGTTCAGGAGAACGAAAGTTAGATTTGAAATGATGTAATTGATTATTCATCATTCCTCATTTCCATCCACAAAACTTGGTCGTTTGTGGCAGTAACAAAACAACACTTGATGACATAAAGGCGAATACTCACTTTCAGTGTAAGATCCAACATCTGCCTTTTACTCGAGGGAATCCTTCCTAATAACCGTTGACTTAGGCCCTCTCTAACGTTGGTATCTCCTGTTGCGATACAAAGTTTTCTCTCACAACAGCAGTCTTTGCAACCCAATAACCATTAGGTGTTTTTGATTCAAACACGGCAGTGTTTTTTGTTGAATCTGAAAGCAACTTTTGTAGGCGAAACCCCAGTCGTCCTGGATAGGCGTTCCTAACACCAACCCCAAAAGGAGTCAGTGTACCCCTATCCCATCGCGAATTCGATTTTCAGCAAAATGATCATTCAGATATCGAGCTGGGTAGATTCCCATGACCCTTTACTTTTGAAGAATTAGTTTGTTTTCAAACTCTCTGTACTATGTTTTCGGGACTTCTTGTTCAATCATTTGTTGTGTATCTCCTCCTTTTTCTGCATAAAAAATAAGAATGAGAACAGATACAAGCTCCATACATTCGCATTGAATCCTTTCCGATTTCAACACTTCTGCTACATTCATCGACATAAGGTTCACCACTCAAAAGGCTCGTAATGAAATAAAATTACCAGAACTTACTGGCGTTGAAACTTTCTTCCCACTGCTCCACCCCCACTGGCTTTCAGATACCTAGAAAGTTGCGTACCAACAAAACTACCAAAAGTACTCGCTCAAAAACAATCATACTCAGCTTCATACAAGATGTGTAATGTGATTCAAAACGATGAGTCTACACGGTGGTATATGATGGCTTACCAGGCAACGCCGTCTCAGCCTTGACCATATCAGGCGATGCGGCATCAACATCCTCCTTCCGTACAATCTCAACATGTTCAGTGTTTAGAGATCTCTTCAAGATCTCCATATTCGATGTCAATACATGGTGTTCGTTAAATGCAAGTTCTAGATTGAATGCTGATGGCCCAGTTGATTCTACTCGTTTCTGCGAGGGACAGCAATAGAAGTGTGTTAGCATCGTGTGTCTAAGAGGCAGGTCAGTTTGCAATTGTCAGCATTTCGGCGTCCTTTTTTTTACCTTGAATTCTACCAGGAAGGGTATGAATCGCTTGTCCTTGTTGAGACCACGCTGAGCAGCCAATTCCTTTTCCTTGTTTGAAAATGTTTGCGTTTTCTGATGTCGGTAGAGAAAAGACATTGGTTAGAGGGATGCCAAAAGACCCAACCTGTACAATGACCAATTCGTGAAGAGTCACACCCCTCAAGAGTCACACCCTTCAAACACCACTCACACACTTACCGCATCATAAGTCTCCTTTAATAACGCGATGCCCTGCTCCTGGTACTCCGGGAACCTGCTAGCCCAAAAGATTCGATACTTTTTCACACCTCCAGATACGACAGCTTGACCACGTTTGGCAGCCTTCTTGGCAATCTGATCTTCACTAGCTCGAACGTTATGTGCTATGTCTCTGAGATACGAAACTGATGCTAGTGCGACAGTATCTATAGGTTTGGTTTCAGGCCATAGTGCATGGAGAATGCTGGATGGTTGAGGAACCCAGTTACGAAGCTCTCTCTAATGAAGTTCAAAAGAAAAAGATTAGACTCAAACTAAAGACTATGATAGCCTGACACAAGTGCATTTTTTTGCGGGGTCGAAGAGGTCTCTTGACCGAAACCTCAATAACACACACCTTTTTCAACAAGTTCTGCCACACGTGCTCAGACCAATGCGGTGTAATAGGAGCCAACAACAAGGCCTGCACTTCAACAAACCTCAATACAAGTTGCTTGTGCATACCATGATTATCTATACCGCGTCCAGGCGATGTAGCATCTCGATACGAGTCTCTGGCAGTCTGCAATTGATAAAATCCCTCCTTAACGGCCTCCCGATACAGCATGGCATCATAAGCTTTAGCAGTCTCAGCAATCTGTAAATCCATTTCAGACTGGAAGGCAATGTCCAATAAAGTCATTTCAGGCGTATCTCGTAATTTGCCTTGCTCTATATCTTCCAAGACTTCGGTAATCCATTCCAATTGCGTGAATAGACGTAAGATGGCTTTATTTGCTGTATCAGTCATGAAATTGGCATCGTCCAGACCATCACCAGCATCAGCTAGAGCGAATCGTGTAGCATCGGCACCGAATTCGTCAGTAGATTCAGTCAATGTCTTGAAATTACCAGTTGATTTAGACATTTTGGCACCATCCAATAATAAATGTCCGTTTGCTCTCATCCCCAATGGCCAATATTTGGGTTCAAATATTGCGACGTGGTTGTATAAGGCGAATGTTAAATGATTACCAATTAAATCTTTGCCTGATACTCGCACGTTCATGGGATACCAATATCGGAATTCGTGACGTAGCAAATCCAATGATGCTGATGGAATGGTTGTGTTTGCAGGTGGTGGTGCATCATCACGGAATATGTAATCCCATACATCATCCGTCAATTGTTTGGAATCTATACCTACTGGACCAGGTTTTGATCCATCCAATGTTCCACCTAAAGAATTCCGTAAATGAGAAAACATGGATGCCAAAAAGAAGACGACGTTTATGAATTTCATGAATCAGACTTGAGCTCACCATGCAACAAGTGGGAAACAGTATAGTATGCCATATATATCGTAGAATCACTCAATGATTCAATGACATATTGTGGATCCCAAGGCAACTTAGTTCCCAAACCGAAACTTCTTGCACATGCCCATTGATTCAACCATCCCAAAATGATTTCGAATTGCTTCTTGGTCTCTTCACTAAAGAATGACATACGAGAGACCAGCCTGTTTTAAGTTGGTGGCACATAAGTACATATCGTTCGCCAAAAAAAAAGCCACATAAAGGCAGTACCAATGTAAGACAGTTGCACTGACTTACTCTTCTACTTGTGTTCTCCATACAGTCTCTCCATAATCTATATACCACTGATTTTCCAATGACACGACACATTCATCGCCACTTCGACTGACAATCAAAGCTTCAGGTTCACAATACGGTATGGCATCTCCACTTTTGATCATGTCTTGTCGAATCAAGTTTTTGGCTTCTGTGACCTTCCTACAATATGAAGAGAAGGGAAGGAATGTGTCAGATACATTCAATTGTGAGCATATTACGTTTTTTTTTTGCTATTCGTTGAGGTCAGAAATATAGAAACAAGGCTCAACACGGATGGTTCAGGAGAACGAAAGTTAGATTTAAATGATGTGATTGATTATTCATCATTCCTCGCTTGCAAAAACACGACACGTGGCCGTGTTGCGCAAGAGCAAAAGAAGGCAAATTGTACACCAAGACATGCAAACTCACTTTCCAGCGTAAGCTCCAACGACCATCTTTCCTTGATAGAATCCTTCCTTATAGACATCAGCTTTGGCCTTCTCCAATTTTTCTTTATCCTTTTGCGACACAATCTTTTCTCTCTCGATAGCAGTCTTGGCGGCCAAATTACCATAATTGGGTGTTTCTAATACAGGTACAGCTGGGAATGGTTCGATCCATTTCAACTGTACGCCATACCATTCATGCTTCTTTTTCAGATCTTGTAGAGTTATGTAATCGTCGGGCGAATCAGATGGCACAGATGTAACGACTCCAGTACCTTTCGAATCTAGTACACCTTCCATCGGCAATACATAGATTCGTTTATACGGTGTCAAGGGTGCATTTATCGGTATACCTATTAGATCTTTACCAATGACCTCGGCCAGCTTTACAATGGCACCCTTTGGCTTAGACCCAAAGAGGCCTTGCCATGTCATATTTCTAGCAGCACGAGCAGTCATCAGCCATGCCTCCTTATCATCTACTTCGTATATACCATATTTGATATTTTCACCAACATAACAATTGGTTTGACCATACATGGTTTCAGGACGTAGAGTGGCAGCAACCATATACACCTGTCGAGATCCAATAGCTTTCGACACTTCAGGTGACGTCAGGACTTGCCCGACAGGTACACCGTTCTTTAATTTATCACGTTGAGCATCCGGTACGGATCTCAATTCTTCGAAATCGATACGTATTTTTATGCCTGTGTATTCTTGAACTCCTTTTTGTTCACCGACAGCTCGATCGTGATCCATACATGGTTGGCCGTCGAGAGGAGAGTATATGGTATATCGTTCACCGAATTGAACTTTGGGAGGAGACATCGCTTTCAGACGGTTGAATTGCCATCGTACGAAGGAGTCATAATATGGGTTTACTTCGGTTGTCATGAATGAGCGTCTCCAATCTACTTTTAATCCGATGGCCTTCAAATCTTCCTGTTTTCAGAGAGTGGATGGTAAGCAGCGAGACAAAAAAAATGCACTTGAAAACGAGACATGCACTCACGATTGCCAATGGTGGGAAGTAATACAACCAATGCAATGAATCCGCGAACTTGTAGATTTCTTCTCGTGGGACGCCCATACTCTCCATGATCTGAAATTGATACTTTAGACCTGTTGACTTTGCTGTAACTTTGGCAGCCTAGCAGTTTAGTCGGCGTTAGTCACAGACTTCCTTCACTTGATACCACATAAAAGGAGACCCGAACCTTCTTTTTGAATTTGGTTGGATCGTCTGACGGTGCTTCAGTTCCATTTGCTACCGGAGCTTCAGCAACAACTTCTTCTTCTTCTGAAGGTATTGAGATACGAGAGTCAGACAAATACAACTACAGACCATGTATTGTCAGTCGATAAACCTGCCTTTGAAGCCAGAGAAGTCCTTTCCAAACTGAGCGACTTCATTCTTGATCTTGTCTGCAGCAGCCTATGAACACACCGTGTATGTCAGCACTTCTTGCTCCTATTCTATCAGCACAGAAGCAAGTCACAGTACCTTGATGGGCATTCCAGTAACATGAAATCCAAAAGGAAACAAGCAGTTCTTGCCCTTCAATCTCTCATAACCCATCGCGAATTCGATTTTTGAGAGAGAGAAGGAGTGACCCAGATGCAATCGCCCATTCATGTAAGGGAATGGGAATGTTCCCATAAACTTTTCCTTTCTGGGCTCCTCTGGTCTTGGAGCATTAGATTCAAAGACTCGAGAGTCTTGCCATTGCTTCTGGACTGCTAGTTCAATCTTTCTCAGAGTATCTCTTTTTATTGTCTAAAGGGGAGAGAAGAAGAGTATAATGAGCGACAATAAACAGGCATGATGACTTTGCGATGCGATAGCTGTGACAGGTTTTTTTTCAATGTCTCAAATGTTGGCGATATTCATAGTCATTACAGCAGTATGCATCAAAACAACGGCATAATCCACTCCAAATACATGTAATAAAACGATATTTGATCTTGTTTGTAAGTGATTGCCTAAGGTACTCACAGACTTGGGAGGCTCTTTATTTGATGCCATTTTTGATTTTTTTACAGATTTCAACGAGGAGAGACACCTAGAATAACCACAAGCGGATAGGCCGACTGCCCTAGTAGAAACTCTATAGAGAATCGTGATATTCTTGCTTGGATTTCCTATATATATATAGAGTGCCCGGTGAGTTGTCACGATTTAGATCGACTTGACGCTTGGAAACTTGAATGTTGTTAGATGTTGATTTACGTGATTTGGATCAATCTTTCTGACTTGTTTTATTGTAGAATATGCTCTCAAGTACTCTACGTCTCGTCTCTCGTTCAACATCCGGTCGCCGACATTTTGGATCACAGGGTGATGAATTCGCCAAACACGCTTCCTTCTTGAAAAGATTGGGTCTCGATTTCGAAAATAATGGTGTATATTACGGAAAATGGACTGGTAATGGACCTGTAAGTTCGCAAAAACTTACAGAAATGCCAATACCGTTGGAGTTTGACACGTACACCTGCAACATTTGTATACTAGGTCGTGCATTCAGTCAATCCAGCTACCAATCAGATAATTGGAGCTGTGAAAACGGGCACACCAAAGGACTTGAATGATGCTTTGATCGCCATGGAAAAGATCAAACCTATGTGGCGAGCAGTACCAGCTCCCAAACGCGGTGAGATCGTAAAAAGTTGATATATTCTCTGTGCTGGTATTCAAGAAATTCCTTTGGCAAACCAGGCGAGATTGTACGCCAAATGAGGCAGGAACTGCATACCCATCGACTCGATCTAGGAAAACTTGTGTCGCTAGAAATGGGCAAGATACTGCCTGAAGGAGTAGGCGAAGTGCAGGAATACATTGACATTGGAGACTATGCATTGGGGCTGAGTCGATCTATGAGTGGCAAGGTTATACCTTCTGAAAGTGAGAGAGAGAAACAAACCTTACTACACACCGCACTACGCGTTAACGCAGCATACTAACTCTGATTCCGTCACGTACAGGGCCTGGTCACTTCATGATGGAGAACTGGAACCCACTAGGCAACGTGGGTGTTATATCTGCCTTCAACTTTGTAAGTTGGTCAAAATCTCCTTGGTGTCGGTGTTGAGACCCTTGTTAAGACCTTGTGCTGATACTGCCTTCCATTGTAACAACCAGCCTGTTGCAGTATATGGGTGGAATTCTGCAATCAGTCTCGTGTGCGGAAACCCTGTCTTATGGTAAAACTCGTCAATCAACTGCCTTGCTCTCCGGCAGTTAACAACGTGTGGCTCGTTTTTTTGCAACAACTAAGATATGGCTCACCTTTACTAGGAAAGGAGCCCCAACCACGAATCTCGTAGCTGTCGCCACTACCAAGATATTGGAACGAGTCCTAGAGCAAAATAATCTGCCAGGAGCACTATGTTCCTTGGTATGTGGCGGTGCTGACGTCGGAGAAGCCATGGCCAAGGACTCTAGGATGGATTTGCTTTCATTCACTGGCAGCACAGCAGTGGGGAAGCAAGTGGGACTTATGGTACAGGCTCGTTTTGGGTATGCCTTGTTGTTTATGGTCATATTTGTTGCTGGCAGAACCCAACATCTCTTTTGTATGTCGCGGCAAGACGAAGCATTCTTGAACTGGGAGGAAACAATGCCATTATCGGTATGGTCTCGCTGCATATTCGTTTTGTCAAGTAATCTGTTCGTCTTATGTGATTTGAAAACAAAAATTCAAAAAAAAATTGAAATTTGCTGATTTGCTAGTGATGGATGATGCTGATTTTGAGTTGGCCTTACGATCAGTCTTGTTTGCTGCTGTTGGAACAGCTGGTCAACGATGTACAACTTTACGGCGTCTGGTATGTGAAACTGCTGGCTTTTGTCAGAACACAAGGACTCAAAACAAGAAATGTTGGTAGTTTATACACGAGAAAATCCATGATCAATTCATGGACCGATTGACGCGTGCTTATTCGCAAGTCAAGATTGGCGATCCATTACAAGGTACCATTAACTGAACTGACCTAAATGGCCTTTTTTGCTTGTTTACTGATTGCTTCTACTGCCATAGAGGGAACACTCTGTGGACCACTGCATACTAAGGCTGCTGTATCTCAATTCAAGAAGGGAGTTGAACAAATCAAGGCTCAGGTAAGACCGTTGGATGCAGGCTCAATAGGTCGTATGGTAGACTCGTTACTCACTAGGGTGGAAGTATCGTTCATGGAGGAACCACAATAGATGGTCCAGGAAACTTTGTGACTCCCACTATAAGCAGCATTTCACCTGAATCTGCTATAGTGCAGCATGAAATCTTTGTTCCAATCCTGCACACCTCTCCATTCAAGGTAATCCCTTCTTGTAACTTGAACAACAAGATCTTCAACTCATAAACTGAACCGCCTCTCTTTTCAATAGACACTTGAGCAAGCCATTGGATGGAATAATGGAGTGCGACAAGGATTGAGTTCCTCAATCTTCACCAGAGATTTACAGAATGTCTTCACATGGACTGGAGCAGCTGGAAGTGACTGTGGAATTGTGAATGTTAACATTCCAACTAACGGTGCTGAAATTGGTGGAGCTTTTGGTGGTGAAAAGGTTGGTCCCTAAAGATCCAAAAAAACCCTAAAAAGGATTGTTTTGGCCTCAGGAAATTCTCCTGTTTAAGTGTTGACCTCTTTGCGAATACTGACTTGCTTTGTCTCATAGGAAACCGGTGGTGGACGAGGTACAAAGCAACGAGCACGACACATTTAAGCAATCTGAATAGTAGCTGAATCCATTCAACTGACTTTTAGAATCTGGATCTGATTCATGGAAGCAATACATGAGGAGGCAGACATGGTAATTGCATCACAAGTTATGTTAATTGTGGAATCTTTTTGTCTAACGTTTCGTGTTGAAAAGCACCATCAACTACTCTGGACAATTACCACTAGCTCAGGGCATCAAATTTGAATAGACTGGGTCTGGTCACAACGTTTTTCTCGGAGCGAGTCAATGTTTTGAGCTTTTGTCGGTGGTGCTGATATGTATTGGTTGAGTAGTGAGAATAGATATATACAGTGTTTAATATACAGAAGAAGGGAATTGTGCGGCCCAAGTTGATATGATGACGCGGCGATGGATGTGTTGGATCGTTTCAAGTAGTCTACACGGTTTCGACGTTGCTGACGTATGTTCCTTCTTACTGCCAAAAAAGAAGCGTTTTCTTCTAGAAAGTCAATTCGCAACCAAGTTCTGCGACTTCCCGACCTCTTTTAAACTGGCTTCCTCTACTCCAACAAGACGTTACAAAAATATCTCAACAAGCTTCAGTGTGTTCAATGAAATATACATTTTCTATTTGCATGCTGATGACTAAACAAAAAAAAAAGCTTCCGTGACTATTTTTCTGCAAAATGGTGTTGTTGAGGTCTTTCAAATACTTATATAAACCAACTGAGGGGATCTGACCTTTATGATACACTACAAAACAATTCTCTTGCGAGAAGAAGCTGACAAAAAGGTTCCCCTCAGCTCTCATATTCCTTCTCCTTTTTATATAGATCAAAATGCAGTCGCCCGTCGTTGACTCCTTACTCCCGTGACATACGCTCTCCATCGACGTGTTGGAAATACAGGAAAGGTATGACCACGAGTGTGCGTAAATGGCTGATCTCGTTGTGGTGATAGACTTGGGACGAATGGTAATCCTTGTGGTTGTTGTTGTAGTAGTGTTGGATGATGAGTCTCGACGGGAGCAGTAGCCATATCCGTATGTGCCACCGTATCGTTCGAATCCACCATTGACGATACAGCTGATGGTGGTGGTGCAGCTGGCATTGACTCTTCCACTTCTTCTTCTCCATCGTCTTCTTGTCCTGCTTCCAATATAGGAATGACGATGGATGGAGAAGTTGGTTCAAAGATGACGCTTCTCCTTGGCGTGAGAGTGTCTGCCTTGCATAGAGGACAGAACGGAGAATCACGCGATAGCCATGGATCGATACACTAGTTGCGATTGATTAGTGTTGCTGCAATATGTGTGCCGCTCGCAGTCCAAAACTACCAATCCAACTCTAGGGTGCCAGTGCAAAAGAGGTAGCGGAAATGAGACTATTACCTGAATATGAAAGTAATGCCCACACAACAACTCCCTCAGTTTATCACCATCCTTGTAGTCCTCAATGCAGATACAGCAAGCGTCTTGCTCATATACGGCATCATCCTTTTCATCCTCCTTACAATCAAGCTTCTCATCATGACGACCATCATGAACCTCAGACTTTGATAAAGGAGCGAAGTCTATCTGACAAGCTGAATCCTTCCGATCCTTTGGTTCAGCAACATCAATAGAGTCACGAGGTAGTTTATAAGCTCTATGTTGCGTAGCAGAGTAAATCATAATCGGAAGCGTATCAATACGCATCTTTCTCCACTCTTGTGGTAAAAGACCGCCCATATTCAATCTCATTGCATCGTCGCGTCTAGCACGGTCAGAGGGATGAGTATGATGTACTCCTAATGGAGATGCTGCATTCGTGTCATTGTCGTTACGTGGCCAACAGCACCGAGCTCTGGCTAGATGTGAGCAAATGTAGCAGACACCGACGAGGACACTTCCTAGGACGATACTATACACGATTACTAATCCTATGGAGATTCCTGATGCGACACGATCAGGAGTAGTAGATTCTTCAGGCACCTTGTCAGGTATTCCGCCGACGGTTCCGTTTATCTGAGCTGGTATCATGGCCAAGACGGGTCTCGCTACGACATCGTCCAAGACTAGTGCACATATATTCATACTGGATGGGAGTATAGTGACTGCAGGTTTCTGTGCACATCCATAAGAGTGAAATAGCAATGCAGCTGGTCCTTGGTCAACGACGTATTGCAGTACAGACGGATTTACAGGCATACAGTTTGCAAAAGTAGCGATAAAGGATCCATTAGGTGGAATCCGAGTCCAGGAGTTGCTTGAGGGTCCAAAATCGACAATCTGACCCTATGAATGTACGGTGTTTGGTAAGTGTTCGAAAAACAGAGAAACTAGTGTAATGCATGACGAGCTTAAAATGCTATGATGAGCTTACAGTGATTCCTTTACGAGGAGGATTGAGACTTCCGATCGGGATAGCCAGTGCTTCTTTATATATCAACTGATGTGTGACAGTCTTCAAGCCATCTTGTCCAGTCCCCATATAACTGATCGTCAAATACGGCATCACATCACATTCTCCAAGCTTCATCATCAAAAATACAATACAAGTAATACATATGAATAGTAGTTTCATGATTGCTTGTTCTCAATATATATATGGTCTTCACCGTACTGACAAATTCAAAATTCTGGTTAAGAAGCTGAGATGAAGAGACAAGAAGCTGAGTAGGTTCAACCCTCTTTTAGAATATGGTCCAAGAGCCCTCAATAATCTTCATGTACATTAGGTCGATGGTAGAACTCTTATTGAACGACTTGATTCATACCCTAGGAGGGTGAGATTGTGTTTTCACTGCTATGCTCTGATGTTCACAGACAGTATTGACAGTGTTACTTACTTTAGTGAAGAAGCCGCTCGAGAAGCAATCAAAAAACACAATGGAAGCACGCATCTACGCATCTAGCGACTCCTGTGTCAGTACGAAAGGAGCTTTGGCAAACACTTGCTTCCTCCAGTTTGACAACACCCTCAAAAGCCGCCCGACGTCGTAACCTCCAAGAACCAGCTCTCGCTACGAAAGTCAAACGATGGCCGGTATTTAAACGTATCTTGAGTTCGGGGAATCTACGCTGCTCCGTCACTTGGTCAGAAGGAGGACAATTTGAAAAGGATCTGTTTGTTACAAGCGATAAGGAGCTGAAACAAGCGCCGTCTCAATCTGTTGAATGTGATTGCGCCGTATCCGATATCCAATATGATTGGATATCATCCAATGGACAGTATCTGATCGCACGCCATCCTAAGAGTTCTGAGCAAGTCACTGTAATCATCATACACGAGTCATGGGATGCAGCAACAGCGGCCATAATGCATCGTGGGTGGACAATTGCAACGAAAAATGGTGTGTCTGATATAGTACCTCTAGGTGACGATGACTTTTTGATTCATATGCAAGAGAGGGATGTGAAGCATTGAATGTAGGTTGATGGTGCTGATTTATAGGATACGACTAGATTTTGAGCGTTGAGGCGAATTCATTCTTGAATTCGTGGGCCGGGATGCTCAATTGTCCTATGTAACAAAAAATTGGGAAGTTTTAGATTATGAAGGTCAAGAGCAGATCGGCACAGGACATACCTGAAAGTTTCTCTCTCTGAGACGAAAATGGCAAGGCCAATTGATGAGATAATCATCTTCATTTTGATCTTCCATTGTCGATAGTCATGAGAAGCATCCAAGGGGTTAAACTTGGGAGTGCGTAATCTTTCATGTGTTGATGTTGGAAGTTTATAAGTGTAGCTTTTGGGGAGAGAAAGGCCCAGGACCTAATAAGATCTGTACACACAGTGATGTCAATTTAACGCTTCTCCTCCTTTGCAAACACTAAGCTACGAAACCGTGCAAAGTTGAAGGGGAGCTTGACTTGAATACACCACCACATCCTAAATCCTCTTCACAGCTCAAACGCATCTCATTCTAATAGTTCTGATCCGGTTCTACCATATATTATGCCATTTATGTTGTTGTTCGACGTGATCTGGACTTGTAAGGCTACAACATGTTCTTTTTGTTGGGGGGATGCTCTATCACTATAGAATGACTCGACATACATGTTCTTTGGGTACAATTTCTTCTACGCGTTGCCCACGCCATTGCAGATCAGAGTTTCGCTCTGTTTCGGGTATTGCGCAATTTCCATGCTACAGTTGACCTATCGACACCATGACACTTTCGTGCACAAAGTCAGATCAGGAGCCGGGGTACTGGCTGAGGCTCATCATTAGTAGTCTTCAGTTCATCATAGGATTCTCGATATGGAAATGAACACCACAAAACGACCTCTTGGGGAACGCTTGTGGGAAATCACCTACTCATACTTCCCTCTTAGCTTTACGACATTTGGGGGTCCCAGTGCGAACATTGCCATCATGTGAGTCGGTCCCTGCTTCGATGGTGGTTCCCCCTAACCCCCGTAGTTGGAACTAGATTTCGAATGTTTGTGACGGAACGACATTGGTTGACTGAAGAGATATTTGCAGAGCTCTTCTCTATTGCTCAGGCTCTACCAGGTCCACCTTCGACTCAGCTAGCATTTGCATTGGCAATGATTCGGGAAGGTGTGATACCTGCGATCTGGAGCTTTTTTGTCTGGAGGTAATAATTAAACGTTGTTCTTGCTTTCGTGCTCATCTCCAAGCCATACTTCATTCTTGTCTAGTGGTCCGGGAGCCATCGTCATGCTGGCCGTGGCTCTAGGTGTATCTTTGGGGGGTACTTCTAGCATACCTGATGCTGTGATTGGCCTTGAAAACGGACTTGTATCGTCAGCCATCGGGCTTACTGCACTAGCTGCCTTTCAGCTTGGCAAGAAATTTTCTACTGATACAACAGCACGTGTGCAGATCCTTATTTCAGGTGGCCTAGCTATTGCATATTATTCTAACGCATGGCTCTTTCCCTGTCTAATTATCTTTGGTGGTATTGTTACGTATACTCAAAGCTTACTTGAACCAAAATGGAAACAATATCAAGAAGCTCTGAGGAGAAAACGAATCCCAACGGTCATCACGGATCCGAAAAAGAATGATGATTCAGAATCAATAGTTAGTCGTGACGTCGATGTAGTAGTAGGTGTTGCTGTAACAGATGTTACTGACTCCATCAATGAAGAAAGCATGGCAGACGCTACGGAAAGGCTAGTGGATGAAGAATTCGCCGTCAAGTTCGAACCAAATATGCAGTTTACCTACAGCTGGGGCGTCGGTCTGTTGCTGTTAGGTATGCCTGAAAGCAAGAGGTTTCGAGTACATGTTTGACTCTTTTTACTCTCGACAGGTGTTTGGGTGCTCTTTTTAGTCTTGGCTATTGTCTTTAGATATGCAACAAACATACAGACTCTAAATCTATTGGGCACGTTCTACTTTACTGGCTCCATCATCTTTGGAGGAGGTCCAGTCGTTATTCCGTTATTGCAATCTTATGTTGTGTCACCAGGATGGCTCACAGATCGAGAATATCTAATTGGATTGGCAGTTATTAATGCTCTTCCAGGTAAACGAAACACATGAAGAAAACAGAAACTGGTGTCATACCAACAAACGCCCCAATTTTCACTAGGCCCTTTATTCAACTTCTCAGCTTACTGTGGTGCTCTAGCGTTGAGGTCGACGGTTGGAACTTCCATTGGAGGGGGTATGCTTGCATATGTTGGTATCTGTGCCCCGGGTTTAATCTTGATGTCTGCATTGCTACCAATATGGAGACGTCTTAGAAGTTTGCAAACTCTGCAAATTCTATTCAAGGGTATGAACTCATCAGCGGTAGGATTAGTATTTGCCGCTGTCTATCTTTTATGGAATAAAGCTATTTCAGGACGCAGCAAAGGGACGGCAGTGGGAAGCTACCCTATCTACACCATCCTTGTAGCTTTTGCGTTCGTTGCTGCAGGTTATACGAAAATTCCTCCTCCTATCTTAATCATTATTGGTGGAGCTGTGGGAGTGATGGATTGGGCCGTGAATGCCAACGATTTTGTCACCACATAGATTGCACTAATAAATGACTGCAACTTGGACTTGAACTTTAATTATACGGGTTTCGCTAGTGACACTGTTTACCTTTATGTTTTGCCCTTGACGAAAACTAGATACCTTCGTTTAGTATACAGTAACTTTCGGTTTTCACACACCAACTTCATCTACCCATTCACTCAGATAGTAGAAACGCCACAAACAGTATTTCGTTGTTCCATCATCAGTTCAATGGAAACTAGTGTCTTCCGACTCTACAACCTACAAGCAACATTCTCCCATCTCTTCCACGTGATAGACTACATCTTCTTGCGTACTTTGACAGGAACAACATAGGAAACCCGCAATCATGTCAAGATTCACGTGTTTTTGACATAATAACCGATAACTCCTGAAGTATTCATTTTCCAGAGATTAGATCAAGTTTTCAATGATGGTGTCAAGCCAGCTTCGCTCGCTTATCTTACAGGTGAAACCTCTTCGGCGCGGCTCCAACCGTCAGAAATCATCATTCATGACATAGAAATCTAGCCGAACCTCTGCCAAAGAGTACCTCGACTACAAGTCTATACAAAAGCACGTCCATTCTGTACAAGAGCTCCTTCCTCTATACGAACAAGTCCCAACATCACTTCTCCACCACCTCACATCCGTTTCTTTGCAGACGTACTACTCTTCTTCCTCGCAGCCTTCTCCCTACGTTCTTCTCCAACTTGCATGAGAGCCTGAAAATACACGGCAGCCAAGATCCCATGTGCAATCACCATCCGTCCGCCCTGCGATGCCAAAACGACCTCCACACTTCTATCCAAACGGTTTACAGCAAATGCTAGTTGCGCCCAGTAGAACGTCTGTAACAGAACTGTTTCAGTATGGTTGCTCTGATATCACACTATGAGACAAACCTCAATGAATTGCGCCCACATGCACGCAATATGAATTCCAGTTCCGTTAGGCTGTATCACGAATGCCATGTGAACGGCCCCGATGATTGAGGTAGCGAGAGTAAGAGCTCGGCCGACACTAGGTGAGTTCGGACCAGGGAAGGCATCAGGTAGCCATTCTGCCACTGAATCGGATTGTGTCCTATGTATATATAAGTAGTAAAGGATCAGTTTGGAGTGGATACATGGATAGATCCTGCTTGTTCTCATCACCAACCAAAAGATATACGAGAGGTAAAATACGAACGCTGCGTACTGTCAAAAGGACATCAGTTAGAAGCAACTTTACACGGAGGGTTGAATTTGTACGTACTGGAGCAGCTGCCACTCGTAGCAGGTTGACTAGAAATACCATTAACCTCGGAGTGATGGTTTTCAGAGATTGCCCAGATTTCCTGTGTTGCTAGTTGAAGACTGAAGAGTATCTGCTATAACGAAAGAAGAATGCGAATTTTGACATTTTGAGATCGAATATCGAGTGCAAGTATCGATGATCTACATGTCGTCGTCACTCATAAACATGTACTGCTGCGAAGCAACATGAAAAGCAGAAACATTTGACAGACGACAAGGACACAGCATTACAGCAAGGCATACCTCTTAGATCTCAATTTCCCGTGCGCACAATGTCAGTAAAATCTAACTTGATTCGTTCCTCCTGTAATAAGAATTATTACA